AACCTCATTCACTCAGTTTCCAAACCCTAATCACTAAACTTCAGAGTCATTCAGTGTTCTGCATTTGGCATTCAGCAAATGCAGAATGCTGAATGAAGAGTCATTTGGGATTCTGCAAAATACCTCTACCACTCTAAACATCTATATATAGTCAACAAAAGTTTGAATCAATCAGAGCAAACATCCCATTTTATTAAAATTACAAACTTCAGTGGATGTAACAGACTAGGATACAGTCTGAAACAAGGGGTTAGTTTTGAAAGAAAATGTGGTGTGGTGGTGGTGGGGAGTGGGGATTGTCAGTTGGTTTCTTTTATCTCAGTTGAAGACTAAAATCTGTTCATTTGGACTGGAGCCTTTGTTAGATCAAAGGTGGTGCTCAGGTTGTTTTTTGTGAGCTGATTTTGTTGTCTGTTTCAAATTTTCTACAGTTTGTCTGGAATGGATCTGTGTAGATTCAAGTGGTGCTCCAGGTTGTTTGTAATGTCTCTTATTATTATTTTTTCTAGGTGTGCAAAAAGATAACATGCAAAGCAAGGTAACTATTACTGGTGTCATTGCTTGCTAAAGGCTGGTTTTCAGTAGTGTCGGAGTTATAAGCGCGATGGAATCAGAAGAATCACAACGTTTCTACTTTCTTCCGACTCCGCTTCTGACTCCATCGCTTACGTTCCACTTATGATCAAGTGAAAACCAGATTGTTGGAATTGGAGTTCACTTGATCATAAATGATGGAGTCGTAAGCAGAATCAAAAGAATCAGAATGCTGTTTTCACTAGATCATAAAGTGCTGTGCCTCTGATTACGACCCCGACTCTGACTCTGTCGCTGGTGAAAACCAGCCTTAATTGCACCACACACTGTACTGTAAGGGTTAATCCACTTCCATTGCTGTACAAGCTGTTCCTTTAAGTTGAAAGTTTGAATCTTTATCCTTGTTGAAGTTGAACAACATAAATGATGCATGCAACTGCTCTATAACCTGATAAAACGAAAGTGATTTTGGTATTTTCATAATTTCTCATTCATCATGATAATTCTTTCCCTGTACAGGCTGTAGTACCTTCCTCTCCTTTCGCTCTGGCTTGCCGAGGCTTCCAGACAAGTTCTCAGGTGCAGGATGTGGACTCTGCTGCTAAATTTATTGGTGCTGGTGCAGCTACTGTAGGTGTTGCAGGTCTGTAAAGAGCTCTAACCTTGAGTACAATTTTTTTCGTTTTTTTTTGAAGACATATAAGTGTACATTTCACAGCTTTGGTCATCAGGCAAGTGTCTTGCCATGCTTTCAAGTGATATGAGATTTGTTAGTTGCACTTGGCATCTTATTGTGTTGATTTTACACCCTGCAGTATATAAAGCTGTTTTTTTTTCTGGTGGTAATACAGGAAGGTTCAACTGAAAGCAGTCAATGTTGCTTTGTTTCTGTTGTATATTTGATAACACTCCCTTAATGTTCCCCCATGTACATTGTTTACACTAACTCCAGAAGGACTGTTTGAAAACATCATGTAATTTTTGTAATCAGAAGTTAACACCAAGTGACAGAGTAAAGCTAAGGGTGCTCATCCCACACTCAGCCTGAGAAAACAGCCAAGATTTTGCAGCAACACCACCTGTTTCCCCGTGATATGATGTCTGAGGAACAAGCGCAGAAATCCGTACTGATGACGTGTCACTTCTCAGATCTGGGTAGTGCTTTGATTGGTTGAAACAAATTTCCCTTGTGGTACGACCAATCTGAAGCACTACCCAGATTAGGGTAGCGATACGTCATCGGTATGGAACCTCTGCACTCATTTCTCTGACATCATTTCACAGGGAAACTAGTGGTGGTACCACAACAAGTCTCATTTCACACCATGCAATTGTTTTTACATTGCAGGTAGTGGAGCTGGTATTGGTACTGTTTTTGGCAGTCTGATCATTGGTTATGCAAGGAACCCATCTCTCAAGCAGCAGCTTTTCTCCTATGCAATTCTAGGCTTTGCCTTGTCTGAAGCTATGGGTCTGTTTTGTTTGATGATGGCCTTTTTAATCTTGTTTGCCCTGTAATCTGTATATTCATGGTCCACAATTAGTGATCAATTCATGCCATTTATTTTAGTCAGTGGCTTTGTGGAAGGGCAGCTTGTTCGTGTGCTTGTAATTTTATCTTGTCAGGAAATAAGTGATGGTCATAAATAAAGCACATTGTGTAGACTTTTGAACACTTCTCTTGTGTGTTGGTTCTAATTTTTAGTACCAGTAACAATGATTTTGAAGGACGTTTCTGAATACAGTTAACCCTCCATTAAGCAGCGAGTAATTTTAGTCCAGAGAAAATTGTGGAAAAAAATTGTTCATCCTGAGGAGAGCTTTTCTTTTGTTGTCACCTCTAGTAAGTGCCCATCAAGTCCTTAAAACACTTAGTTTGGCGTTTAAGAAAAATACGATGGAGAAAAATACAGTCTGAGACAAGTCATGGCTGCTTGTGGACCAGTAAGGACGATCCTGTTGTGTGTTTGTTTTACAATAAGAGGACGTTTTTGCTTAAGATTACCATAAAATTCCAAAAATAAGCCCCCCAAACCGGTGACACAAAAAAAACCCCCGTTAAATCGCCCCTCCAAATATAAGCCCTCAGGGGCTTGTACTTGGAAAATTTCCCTCAAATACAAAGTAAAACAAAGCAAAAATGGTAAATTTACTTCCAACTATAAGGCTAGCCCAATCGATTTGAAACGCAAGTTTCCCTTCGAATATAAGCCTCTCCAAAAATAAGCCCCTCAAAAGGGGCCTTCGAAAAATATTAGCCCCGGGGCTTACTTTCGGAATTTTACGGTATGCTCATTTATTGTATTGAGCAGCCAACCTCCATTAAGCGGCTGTTTGCTAGTATTCCAAGGGTGGCCAATTAGTGGAGGTTCAAGTGTATCACATTTCACTTTATCCGGGGGGAACTGTGGTTGAAAACTGTAGAATTGTTGGTTGGAATGTCTAGAAAGTGAAAAGAGAAAATTGGTAACTCAAATCGAACATGTTTGAAGGGAATAACAGTAAATTGTGTAAATCGGCATGACCTTGCTTACTGTAAATGATCTAATTGATGCCCCCTCTCAGTTCAAGGGTTTGTGCATTCCATCTTGTTCAATGTCAAATTCAGAATGAGGATAGACCAATGATGACAACACAATGACACTGAATCAAGAGTTGAGCTTTGAAAGAACGTATGAATGATGGACTGGATGTTGTGCTATATGTCAACTCTCTTGATATATTCGCCGAAACCACATTAGTTTTTAGAGGTCAATAGCAAATGAAAATAGATGCCTCATTCTTTTAAACACCTTTTATTTATAACGCCCCCACTCAAACCCCTTAAATGAACACCCCAGGCGTCTAATAGATCATTTACGGTACAAGGGTGTAGCTCGGTTTCGAGGTAATTTCAGCCCGTAACAAAAACATTTGTAGCATTGCTCAGGAATCATCTTTACATGTCATGAGATGATGGTTTGGTCACTAGAAGGCATTTCTTATTTTTTCAAAAACGGCAAAACACTTTAAATTTGGCAATGCTGCTTTTTGAGCCATAACCCATGTCTTCCATGGGTTAGCCTGAATTTCAGGCTTCTGCAATGGGGAAACTTTTTATTTTTCTGAAATCAGCCCATGGTAAAGGCAACCTAATCAGATGTTACCTGTGACTTAAGCCCCAGTTTAACCAGTGCATTTCACATGTACCAAATAAATTATAATGCAAATCAGCAAGAACAATAGATTTTCCTTTGGCACATGAAATGCTACATTTGAACCAGGCCTTAGCTAGCAATCAGGCTCAATTTTTGTTTATCTAGATGGACCATTTCTGGTGGGACAGTTAGGCAAGGGACTCACTGTAAGAAAATATGAGAGTCCTGCTTACTATTAATATGTGACTAGTATTTTAATTTTTTTGGAGTCCTCAAATTGATGAGTAACTTCTATAATGTCTATTATAAAGTGTATCGTTGATGATCATTTATGCACAAATACAGTTGATCTGAAAATTTTTACCAGAGGCATTTCAATGTGAAAAAGTATCAAATATCCCAAAATGAAGGGGGGGGGGTTGAGGAAACGGGACTAATTTTCTCGAACAGTGGCTGGTAATCAAGCCTTTTCATGCCAATTTCTAAAATAAATTCTATCCACCTATGTAAAATAATTAAACAAATGACAGCACGAAGTTTACGTCAAAACCAGAAGTTTATTGTATCATAAAAAAGCAAATAGTTCAAGTCTTCCACTACATTCAGGCAGATTAAAGAGAGGTCACAGTAATATTGCTTACTCTACAATACCCTGTTATTTGATCTAAAAATTATGTCATTCATTGCAAGAAATATTGCCCTCACAGTTATAAACGCAAAGTGTCTTAAAAGCTATTTTTAAACAAAGGAGTTCTATATCAGTACCCATGTTTTCAATAACTTGTATCTCACTATTTTGCAGTGAATAAGTTTTTTCAGGTCAATATCTTTCTTGTTGAGCTCAGCAGTTAAGTAATTCAGTGACTGGATGACTCTCAGCATTACTCAAACACACCAAGAATATCGCTGTCACGGTAGATGTGGTATTCCTGTTGAAGGAAGAAACATTCTTATTATTTTTCATTTAACCTTTGCTGTATATGTGACTGTTGGACTAAAACAAGTCCAAATGCCAGACAAATTTCTAAGATGTTAAATTGTGCGATTCCTGCTGAAGTTAAAGGTGATCGAAGAATATTATTTTACTTTTTTGATCACCGGTATAATTCTTCATTTCTTTGCCAAATATGTGAAGATATGCCAGGAAAAATGCAAATGCAAGACAAAAGTTTGGAATATTGTATTGCAACAAAATACCCAATCATGTTCAAAATAACCTCCAAGTGATAATGATGATTTGTTTGTAGTGAGTTTGTCACAGTGACTCCATTTTCCCACCAGGCCCTTAAATCATACCCCTGCACACCCCGCCAAAATAAAACAAATCCAAACCTTTTCCTCCATGGTTACTTTTGTTCCACCATACTCTGGGAGTAAAACCTTGTCACCCACATTTACGCTTATGGGAACAATGTTACCTGACTGGAAGAACAAAGAAAAGAGTCAAGTAATAAGTTAAACTAAAGAATATATAAAATAATGGCAACTAATTTTCTAGTAGACCTGTCAAAACATTTCTAGAATGAATACCCTTTCCATTACAAAATGCAAGGCTGTGCTCTAAGAAAAACTGGAGGGAGCCCTGTGCTCTCAAATTGTCAAATTCAGGGCGCCCAGCATGATTTGTATGAAAAAAAGTAAGCAATGTCACCAAAATGTTAAACGCAAGTGTTTAACTATTATCTCAAGGCTTTTCCACATGAAATCCTGCCGGTAGATGCTGTTTGAAGCTGGTGGAGCTATCAAGAAATAATCGAAGATATATTTAAGAATAAGCAGGGTTTTGATGGTAAAAGCTGAACTTTAACTCATTTCATCGCATTTGAGGAACATATATCATTGCTAACTCTCTTGCGGAGGGCGTTGTACAGTTTGCAGTTCCTGGCATTATCATGGTGAGAATTGGTCGCAATTCACCAAGTCAATAAACTTATTTTTGAATAAAACATGATAGTGCACCCAGTGGAGGTGTTGCTTTGAAACCTTAATGCAACTAGATGTTATGCATAATTGATGACGTCACTGCAATAACCAACCGGAAGTCAAGATATAAAAATATATACAAAGCCGATTCGTGTTTCTGATCCACGCACATTCCATGTGCGATGCAAATTTTGACAAAGTTATTAACTAGCAAATCTGCGATGAATAAGGTTACATACTGGGTCACAATGGCAAGCGCTACATTTTTTATCACCAGGTTGTTCAGTATTTACTCAATTAGTTCTCCAGCTGGTCTTAGGAGACCATTTCTTGTAATTTATTAATCCTGGTAGCCTTTTTTAAAATAAATGTTGCAATCTATTTACAAACTTGATCTCAAATTAATCCCTTGTTTAGGATCATTAAAGAGTTTGCTGCAATGGCATCTTTTAATTATAATGCGCACTATTAGGTTATCACCAATCACTGTCCACTCGCTGAGGTTCTTCAACTCACTTTATCTCTAGCACCGGGTCCCACAGAAATCACTGTCCCCTCCAATACTGTCCCCTTACCCTTCTCAGGAAGAAGTACTCCTCCCTTGGTTTTCTGAAAAAGGAAAAAAAAACAGTGAAGTTCATAAACCAGTTAATATTTTATTTATTCACATTCAGAAAGATTGAGATGTCAATTTAATATCAGTTGAGTATCAGTTCTGAATCTGACCACTGTGTGGCCAAATGTCAGCCTCTGCAGTCTATCCGTCGATAGCTGCCCAATGTTTGCTTGTAACTTTGATAAGTCGACTGACAGTCTACTGAAGTGTTGGCTGCAACACTGGTGGATACCCTCTGCGAGGAAATTGGCTGAAATTTGGCGACTTATCGAACCAATATCTACTGGTATGCATGTCAGTTGAAATGCCCTTTAAGTAACAGCCAATGTCGACCGATAGTGCCCAATATACATCAGCCCAGTGGCCGAACCAGACCTTCAGATAAGGGGGCGGGGCGGTCATCAAGACCATGAGATAAGGGGGGGCACATCTCCAAAAAAATTTTTCTCAACCCTTCGGTCCTCAGTTTGGTCTAAAAATAAGGGAGGGATCCCCTGGATCAGCCACTGCATCAGCCAACAGGTACCTTGCAACAAAGTTGCACAGGCCAGCATGCCAATTGCTGGTTTGCACGTGACGTCACGGCGGCCATGTTGGTGGTCAAGAACAAAAGCATTTCTCTCCTCTGGGAACTAAACTCTATTTTCATGTAAATTCTTCGAAGAAATATTCTTTTGTTTTGACCCCCAACATGGCCACCTTGTCACGTGGTTGCAAACCAAGAATTGTCGATCAATACACCACCACCAATACTTAACTGCTACTTGACCGACGATTCAGTGATATAAACGCAACTATAACTACCAACTACCAATGCTAATGAAAACAACTAACTGTTGGTCGATCTGTCAACCAACAGATTGACATGCTTTAAACAGTCTGGGATGGCGAAAAAACATGACAGATGCCTAAGTTAACATTTCGCTTGAAATTGGCTTGAACATTTAGGTTCAAATTGGGGTTTTGGAGTAAATTGTAGCTGCCATAACATTAATCTTTATTTTCTTCAGTTGAGTACAAAATAATGATTGATACTCGGATTTCAATAACGACAACTGCCACATAAACAGAGGGTGGTCTGCCTGTGGTTTGTCTTATACTCTTCCCAGTGCCAGAATTTCCTAGTTATCACTTGCCACCCATATTAGTACAATAAGGAACATTCAACTGCTTGCATCGTAATTTATAATGCATATGCTTGTGCAAAAGAATGAACAACAATACATACTACTTCTGGTAGGAATTTCTCTACCAATATCCTGTCAAAGAGTGGCTTGAATCTTCGAATTGCAGCCTACAAGAGAGAAATGCAGCTTTGATCATCAAATATTAAAGTTTAGTTCGAAAAAAGCTTATGCAATCATGTCAAATTATTTCAAGATTTAAGAAGACAAAGTTTGAGATCTGCCAAAAAGGTTACACGAAGCATGTTCAACATTATAGTAAACTGAGGCTTTTGATTGAGATAGAAGAGAGAAAAAAGAGAAAAGACATGGTTTACTGATGGTTCTTATACACAACTTTTTACTGACTGTAGCATTCAGGAAAAGCTACCTAGTTTTCAAGAGACATTTTGAAGTACAATTTTGGTAAAAGTGTACATCAAAGTGTGCTAGGCTTTAAAAAAAATTCATAGCAATCAAGAACGCTAGTTTGCCACCTTAAAAACTCCAATACTCACCATTTTTGCAGGGAAACCACAAGGCTTCTTCGCCGGTGGAAATAGCAAATTCACACGTGTAGTCCGAGGACGTTCTGCGCAATCGTGAAGGCGTCAGGAGGTGTGTCCAAAGACTTAACTAGGAAGGGGAGAGTCAAGAATACATCAGATGGACTTATTATTTGCACTCTATTACTGATATTTACAACGCAAGTCTACAATCGATACAACTATAAAAAGTAATGGCGTAGATAAAGGAACCTTTATGGCTGAAGAACGAAAATTTAGATATAGTTTGTCATACTAGAAAGATATAGACTTAACCCTACCCTACAGAGGCATAAATTGCTTTCTATACTGAGCATGCCAAGCACGAATTCGTCCTTTTCGGCACGTGGGCCAACCGAGCTGCAATCCGCCTCGCTGTTCTCTTAATTTTGCACAGTTTTGTGCATTAGTTTTACTCTTTAACTCTCGATTACACATTGAATTATCAAGGTAAAGTATATTTTCTTGTTGTAGCTTGTATTAAAATAGTTCGTTACAGAATTTTTTTATTTTTTGTGGCTGCCTCATTTGTATCCGGAACTCTCTCACATATCACTTAGAATGAACCTGCAAATTGCACATGGTTTTTATGCGATATATCTTTCGTTATAGCTTTTCATTTATTGCTTTTTAGACGCAGATCTCGTCAAGTGCTGGCACAATCGAGTCCCTGCAAAGAATTCCCTTCATATAGATATAAAAGATCCATAAATTGTCACGAACAATTAGTTATAAGTTACCTCTCAGGCTATGTCAGCTGTTTTACAAAATTGAAGTCGCAAAAATACTATATTTTAGAAAAAAATGCAGTTCTTTCACGTAGAAAACAAAAGGTTGAAATAACCCCAACGAGTTTGATGCGTTTTTACATGTGCAGAATCAGAAAATAAGACTTCGGTGAACTTATGCAACTTAAGGGGTCGATTGCATAATATGCATGTTATACGTGTGCATGTTTAAATAGTGCAGAGTGTATAGGTGCCAGAGGTGTTTGTCTGTGTTTCTTAAACTGTGGTTGTAGTTTATTTTATTATACATATTTTCAGTTGTACTGAACTTAAACCAGCTGGTTTAGTTCAGTGAAATCACACATACAGAACCACTCTAAGACCAGGTTAATATCATTTAACTCCAAACCATGACATCAACTGACCTGCTATGCAACTGCTATGTTCCTTAGTTATCACTGGAGTGAGGCTTTTAAAAAGAAATAATATTGTAACACACAAAAGCCTATTTTTATTGCAAGTCCACATAATTACACAGTTATGTTGTTAGGGTTAACTTTTGACAGTTTTTTTTTCCTGGCCCAGGTTGTTCAAAAGTTGGATTGCGCTATCGACCGGATAAATCACTATCTTTTGGATAAGTGTTAGGGAAACCAATAGCGTTATACAATGGATAGCTATTTATCCAGTGGATAGCGTTATCTACCTTCAGAACCACAGGAAAAAATAACGGATTCCCATTTTTGGATATTTTAGGGTATTTAAAGAATACCCATAAAAAATCCCAAATTTGGCAAAGTGAGACAAGTCCCAACCAGGGAATTCCCAACCAAGTTCCCTGGTTAGGACTTGTCTCACTCTTCCAAATTTGGGGTTTTGTGGGTATTCTTTAAATACCCTAAAATATCCAAAAATGGGAATCCGTCATTTTTTCCTGTGAACAATTGGGCCCTGATAGTCACATTCCTGTTTGCAGAATGTATCGTCTACCTAGTTTGATCCGTCCTGCCCAGCAGCGGTTTTCTCTCAAAATCCTCTCCCCTCGGCTGGCCGCAGGGTTCAGCACTTCACACAAGCATCAAGCTGCTAAGGAACTCAAGTTTGGAGGTGATGCCAGGTCAAATATGCTCAAAGGTGTTGATATTTTAACTGATGCTGTTGCTGTGACGCTAGGCCCAAAGGTTTGACAGTCTTTCTGTTTTTATTATGAACACAAATAACTAGGTTGATGCCCAAGACATCACATTACTGTGTCGTAGTCAGAATGTTGAACCGATGAGCATTGGTATTCAGAAATGCAATTTTTTTAAATTTGAATCTTACGTATACTATTGTTGACATACATACGTAGATATATACACTGTTTACAGGTACAAATTACAACGCCTGAAGGGGGATCATGAGGTTATCCCTATATTAAGACTCCTCTGTACAGAAAACCCACCCAACCCAGGAAAGGTTGGCCACACCACCAGGGCATACATCCCCTACTCTATTTGAACAGTGGTGTTTGTTCTTGTGTGTCCCACGAAAACCAGGTAAGAGAAAATGCTGTGAGATGGGACCTACAGTTTTTTGTCCTTATTCGAGAAGACTAAAAAGTCTAACTGTTTGGCGATATCGTTACAAAGGCTGCACTTTCTTCTCAGTTATTTAAAGACCCGGCGTGTTGGTCTGGCTGGGTTTGAACCCTGGACCTCTTGCTCAGCTCCCAACTGAGCTAGCTAGGTGGTGGAGAAAGGAGTGGTTGAGAAATGTACTTGCCTCGATCTAAATAAGGAACTGGCAACACCCCTGTTCACCATCAATATTTTTAATCTTTAAAAGGTTTATTTATTTATTCCCATTGAGTAGGCCGTAGTGTCTGTTGGTTACTAAAAGCACCTAATGGTTTTGCTAAATCTATGTCCAAAGCATTCTAACGGATGGCTACTTAAACAGTGATTTTTTTCTTTTGGCCATTCTAAGGAGACATTTTCCCATATGTGAGTTCTTTCTCAACTGGTAGATGAATAGGTACAGCATATTACCTACTATGAATGTTATGCCCCCCTTTTTTGTGGATATTTCACAAGTCATTTAATATTATTATAGTACTTTTATCTGCTATCATTTTTCCACAAGTTGAAAGCTAACAAGCCATTCTTTCCTTTTTCAGGGCAAAAATGTTATAATTGAGCAAAGTTTTGGAGGACCAAAGATCACTAAAGATGGTGTGACAGTAGCCAAAGCTATTGAACTTAAAGACAAGTACCAAAACATTGGTGCCCGCCTTGTGCAAGATGTAGCCAATAACACAAATGAGGAGGCTGGTGACGGTACCACTACTGCTACTATTCTGGCCCGATCCATTGCAAAAGAAGGATTTGAAATGGTGTCTAAAGGGGCAAACCCTCAGGAGGTCAGACGAGGTGGGTGTGGCTGAAGCCTACATTTTCTTTTCAGCCTCTTCAAATGGCCGATTGCACAATTGGTTTCCCTCAATTAATACTTATCCCGCCGGACATTAATTTATCCGGTGGATAGTGCCATCCAGCTTTTGAACAAATGGTGCCTGGCAGTTGTCCTTACACAGTCCTCAATACTACTTTATCCCTATTTACATGAGTGTGGGAGAGGTTTTTAAACCAAACAGAAGCTTTGTCAGTCGCAAACCCTTGAAGTATAAGGTCAACTTTAATTAGTGTTAAGTGAAAAAGGCCCATGCATATTTGAATGGAGGCCATTGTCTCATATCAAGAAATGATATTACCATTGTGACAGAGGGCTGTGAGATGCAAGCTGCTTTTCTTCACTTCAACTTGTTAGATACTTAGGGGCTGTACTTGACATGGAAGCTGGAGGAAGATCCTAGTGAAGGAAGATCATCCTAGTGCCATATGCTTTCTTTATTCAGTTTTACTTGCAAAGGGCTGTTTTTGTCCCTAGAACTAGGATCCTCTTAGTACTAGAAACTTCCTAGCTCCCATCCTAGCACAAGGAAGATCTTAGCACCATGTAAACTGCTTTCTCTAGGAAGATCCTGGTACTAGGTACAAACCAGACAAAAATGCCAGTGGGTCGTTTAGTGGGTTAAGTCACGGTAAGACAATTTTGTTTGGCATTACCAGGTTGTAAAGAATTGCCATTTGTTGCTGAAAGGTGGTTATTAAGGCCAGTAAAGAGAGCAGAAGGGGCCAAATTGCATGTTTGTTATTGTTGCCCACCATCTTTAATACCTCTTCTTCTTGATAACCACACAGACTGAAATTTCTGCATGTAAACCCAACAAAAAGTAATTGTTCCGCCTTCTAGGATCATCCTGGTGCTGCTAGGACTTTGCTCCCTCTATGCAAATAGCCCCTTAGGGAAGGGTTCTTACTACAGGCAGTAAATGCATGTAGTGTTAATAAAAAATGTAGGCTCGCATTCAGCTGTGTTGCTTTTGCAAAGTCTTCTTGTGCTAATTAACACTTTTTGATGGTATTCTTAACTGTTTTACCAGGTGTTATGTTGGCTGTTGAGACTATTGTTGAAAACCTGAAGAAAATGTCCAAGCCCGTCACTACTCCAGAAGAAATTGCCCAGGTATATCGACTAGTTGAACTTTCAAAGCCACACTCTAGAAAAGAAGTAATAATTACATCTTAATTCTTAGTTCTAGGCAGTTAATAGTACGTAGAATTATTTTTCTACCACTGTTTTGAAGGGTTTGTGACCTACCATAATGATTTGATTTAGAATCTTTATAACCAATAACATCATGCCTCGCTGAGGAGAGATGGCTGTTTTCACAGGCCACGTCATAGCATAACTGACATTTGACCAACAATATGATGATTTACAATAGAACCGCCATTAAGTGGCCACCTCTGGTGTACAGGCAAGTGGCTGTTTAATGGAGGCTGGCTTCTCAATAGAGGTTCATCTTAAATAAGCAGAATGGTTAGCAGAAACATCACTTTATTTCAAAACAAACATGTGACGGGAGAAGCATTTTTGGCCCACAATCGTTTATCACCATCTATCCTGAACTGTATTTTCCTTCATCATATTCTAAATGAAGCTGAACTAAGTGTATCAAGGGCTTAATTATGGTCGCATAGTAGAGGTGACAACAATGGGAGGACTCTTGTTGGGACGGCCAAAAGGTGGCAGCAGCCACTTAATAGAGGTGGCTGCTTATTAGAGATTTAATTTCCAATTCTTTTCTACAATTATTTTGGGACTTTGATTACTGGCCACTTAGTAGAGGGTGGCCGGGTGATGGAGGTTCAACTGTATTTGACCAATCATGTCATGCTTATTAATCAGTGAGAGTTGAATACCATTAACTGGTCATGATACAACTCGCCTTGTATCTGAAGACGACTTCCGCCTAGGTTTTCAAAGCATCAGTCATTGTCAACAACAGTCCTATTCAGGACAACTCCGGAGGAGCACATAATTCCACCTACATATGAAATGAGTCCCGGGGTCAAACCTTTCACTGCGATACATTTTTTAAGCAGTGTTTATTTTTGAGGTATAAATTTTATTTATAAGACAGGCCATCAACTTACTTCTAGGTGGCAACAATTTCTGCAAATGGAGACAAAGGCATTGGTGACCTGATCTCATCAGCCATGAAGAAAGTTGGAAAAAATGGAGTTATTACTGTAAAGGTGAACACTTGAATTTCAATATTATACTTTTCGAATGAATTAAATTACTGGAAAAGTTATTGATGTGAGTCGCACACACATTCCATTGAAGGCTTTGACAGGGTTAGTGCGAAGTTTGAATTCAGATGTGAAAGCTTTTAAAACAGTAAATTCAATGTAATTCATTTTGTCAACAAGTTGATGATTGGATGCTCTTAAAAATAACAGAGAAAATTATCCGAAGAAATATGTTTTTGAAGAAAGAAAAAGAATCGCGGGTTAAGCACTAATCGGCCTTTGAGCAACTGCGCCCTGTAACGCGCGTCAGTAAAACAAAATGTTCCATTTACACGCCCGACACGACGCACTCTGGCCAATGTCTCCTCCGATTACAAGCACTTGACACCGAACCATACGATATCTTTTGAAAACGTTCTTATAATGATTCACAGTTTAAATAGAGGTTTCGCTGTAGGCAACCCTTACGTTCAAAATGTGCCATAATCATATTTACCTATATTGCAACCACCCTTCCCCCTCAACTGCTACCTGTACGCCTAACAAACATATGGAACGCACTCTCCTAAGCTCCGATTTCTCCTAGTATAGTTGACTCATTAAGATTTAAATGACAGGAGATTTGATACCAGGTTAATGTATTTAATTTTCACATTGTAGGATGGCAAGACTCTTCATGATGAATTAGAACTGATTGAGGGAATGAAGTTCGACCGTGGATACATTTCCCCTTATTTCATCAACACAACCAAAGGTATTTTGGCAACATAAAGTGAGGCCATGGCTAAAAATTATTAATTATTAAATTATTAAATTTAAGGGGTCAGTTGAAGTTTTATTGCAGTGAAATGTTACATTGACTGTTCACATTTTCCAGTGTAGGTAGTTGTCTACAACTTGGTTATTCCTCACACAATGTCAGTTAATTAATTTGAAGTTCGATCATCTTTGCCTCTTTGAAAGAGTCTGATTGTTAATGTTGCACCCATTGAATAATGGCCATCTTAATCCTATGACAATTTTTTTTTTTTTCAGGACAAAAAGTTGAATTCCAGGATTGTTTGGTTCTTCTTTGTCAGAAGAAGATTTCATCAATTCAGCAGATTGTCCCTGCCCTGGAACTTGCCAATGCACACAGGAAGCCACTTGTTATCGTAGCTGAAGATGTTGATGGTGAAGCCCTTACCACCCTTGTACTCAACAGGTAACTATCATTATTTTGATAAATATTGTATGTAACCCCTGAGTGGACATGGGTGTAGGAGCCATGAGGCAATTTGAAATGAAGAGTAAATAAAATATAATAATTATTTAAAATACTTTTATTATAGCTGTCATTGAGCTGTTTTACGTAGACAAGAAATTACACAAAATGCTATAGGTGATTGACATTTTTAGCTTAATTATAACTATAATGAAATTCTCAATCCTGATTGGCTATCAGCTGTCCTGATTTGATAATAGGACAGCAATACGCATTTAGTAAACTGATACTCATATATCCCTGTTATAGTCATAATCCAACTGTGGAAAGTAATTGTGTATGTGATAGGTTTTATAATTTTAGTGTTAGAAAGATTTCAAGAATGACCAAGAATGTATATACTCAATATAGTTATATTTCATTTTTTATTTAATTAGGGATACTTATTATGCTTGTAGATAATCTGTGTCCCCCATTAGCTGTATAGCTAAATACTATGACATGTAAATAAAGTATTCAAGTATTTGCACAGTACGTGTCAGTGCGTGTGCACTTGAATTTTTTTTTTTTTCACTTCTAACCTGAAAAACTTTTGGAATATCTGGTGCTTTACTTTTGAAAAAGCTGCAAATATCACTAATTTTGCTTAAGTTTACGATTAATTGGTAACAGGTAACTTTGTGTCATCTAATTCAGTCTGCAATCGTATTTCTTATTAATAAAAACGGACTCTCTCTATGTAGTCATCTAATTTTGTTGACCACTAAGTCTTGTATGATTACAGACTGAATTGCACTCCACTCAGTCCTGTTACCATAATAATGATAACTAAAATGCCTTTTCTTTATTTTTTCAGACTTAAGGTTGGTCTCCAGGTGGCGGCAGTTAAGGCCCCAGGATTTGGCGACAATCGTAAAAACACTCTTCAAGACATGGCCATTTCCATGGGTGGTATGGTGTTTGGAGATGATGCTCTGGAAACAAAACTTGAAGATGTCCAAATACAGGATCTTGGTGAAGTCGGAGAGGTGTCAATCACCAAGGATGACACTTTGTTCTTGAAAGGCAAAGGAGAAAAAGAGGAGGTTGAAAAGAGGTGTGCTCAACTGAGGGAAGACTTGGAGATAACAACATCAGAATATGAAAAGGAGAAAATAAATGAAAGATTGGCCAAACTTTCTGATGGTGTTGCCATCTTGAAGGTAGGTAATAGAAATGTTTTTTCTAGTGTATGATAGCACGGCTTTTACCTAACAGCATGCTTCGGAAATAGCTCATTTAGTAAAACTTTTAAGGAGGCTAACAAATTTTCTTTTTTGTGCAATAACTTGACAACTTCATAAGCTATTGAATAATAACATTAAAAAACAGTATATTATTGACATTAAAGGTTAACCCAAAGTGGTTTATGGCTATGCAAATCTTCCAGCCAAAACGGATTCTTATCAGCCATTGGTTATTTTAGATATGGGTACTATATATATTTTTAAAAATGACATACGTAATTCTTTTTTGAGGGTCACACTGTTTTCGTCTTGAAGAGAAGTTTAAGAGGTTGCACCCACGATATTAGCACAAGACGTAATTTTTGACTTACACTCCTTGACAATTTTTTTATTAACTCTTTAAGCCCCAAGAGTGATCAGCATCAAATTTCTCCTTGTAATATCAATGCTTCGTAAAACAGAGTGGTCATGAAAATTACAGACATGATCACACAAGATGAAGTTGCTTGATATGTTATCAACGTCTTCCCACTACCTCTGTAGGAAATGAATAGGGGCAACAAATGAGAATTCAAATTTTGATCTTAGGGTTTAAAGGATTAGTCGTTGCGTCTTATAGATTGGTGGTTCCAGTGAGGTGGAAGTCAATGAAAAGAAAGACCGCGTTACTGATGCTCTTAATGCCACAAGGGCTGCTGTGGAGGAGGGCATTGTTCCAGGAGGAGGTGTTGCATTGTTGAGATGCAACAAGAGCCTTGACAGCGTTACAACAGCTAATGAAGATCAGCAAAAGGGAGTGGAACTCGTCAGGCGAGCTCTTCGCAAGCCCTGCCAGACTATTGCTGAAAATGCTGGTGTGGAGTCAGCCCTCGTGGTCGAGAAGGTACATTTAATTGAGTAGTATTAATGTTTGAACATTTTACAACAAGTTGATTATGCACTTTTGTTCTGTTGATCGAATGAAAACGCCAGACACAAAGGTAAGAATCGTATTTTAATCACACACACACGCTCTCGATCTAGAATTAAAGTAAACATGTTCGTTCGTTGGCACTCGGGCTTACAATGTAAAATAAGCAGAAAGAAATCTAAAACAGCATTGAAATTGAATGGACTCTCACTTCTACTCCAGCACCCGTATTTAGACAAAACACTTCACACTTTACCCTTCTGGTTTTCTAGTTAGCAACTTCTGTCGAATTAAATTAAACAGAGTATGTGCAGTATAAACTTTAACAACGCAGGCGTGCACCTTTGATTTTAAGGGGCTGTTTCATGGTTGTCTAGTTCATCTTTTTAATAATGCCAATTACTTGTCCTTCTTCACAATGGAGCTTGAGAAATACATGTAAATGACAATATCAGAGGATCGAGTAAAACAAAATTGTTTCCCAAGCACTATATCAAACGTAACAAACGACAAAAATGAACTTCGAAAAACTGTTAGCCTGGCAAGTTTTCAAAAACCACAATTACAATCTGTTTCAATCTTTAAGTTTGCCATCCGTGTTAGGCGTCCTTTTGTATTCCCTGTGATATTTATACCTTCGTTTCATGTTTTAAGCAATCATTTTGAAGTTCCACTCAGTCTGGTGGCATTTTTCACTGTTTGAATTTATAAATTTAGTGGCACAGGTCCTTTAAATAGTTGGACGGACTGTTCAGGAGAACAAACTCCACTCCAACTCTGATGCTGAGTTCCGCTCGGGTTGTTGGAACATCACGTCCTTTCCGGGAGAGTTAGCATGTGTATCAGTTTTTGAGGTTTATCTGAGTGACTGAGGAGGAAGGATTAGTTAGTTAGTGCGCAGCCTTCTGTCCGGAAGGTCCCGAGTTCGATTTTCAGGTGTGATCTCCAATCCTTCTTTCGACTTCTCTGCTGTCCGTGTAGCTTTAAATATCCGTAAAACTGAGCACTGATGGAGAGGGAGGGTAAAATGAAAGCACCGTCAGCCTCAGGTTTGTTAGTCAGATCACTGTTTTGAGCCGACTTAAGATAAGGACTCTTCACCTTTTTTTAGTTTGACTATGGCCACGTGGATATCAATAACATCTCTCTTTGCCGATTCTAGGTTTTCTCCATGGAGGGTAACCAGGGCTACGACGCACTTAATAACACTTATGTAGACATGATCCAAGAGGGCATCATTGACCCCACAAAGGTAGTGAGAACTGCCATCACAGATGCTGCTGGTGTTGCCTCGCTCTTAACGACAGCTGAGACGGTCATTGTTGAGATGCCAAAAGACGAGAAGGCCGACATGGCTGGAATGGGAGGAATGGGAGGAATGGGAGGAATGGGTGGAATGGGTGGAATGGGTGGAATGGGAGGAATGGGATTTTAAAAGAATGGCTGCGATTCTGTTTAAGAATGAAACTACGATTCAATTTTGTGCATCTTCTCTGCCTAGACACATTTATTAACAATGCTGCTTGTTGAGATCATGTGTGACATTTGAATTTGAAATCTGTATGCTGTATTGCTTTGGTGCCATCATGAGGAGAAATCGTTATCTGTAAAATCCTGCATATGACGAGCCACCAATGCAATTGTAAGTTCGAGATCGTCCCTCTGCTAAAACTCAAGGGTGTTTTAATGAAAAGACCAAGGACAAAATAGGTTAAACAGAACCTCATTTTCCGAGTACAGTAATAGGCAGCTTCTTACTATATTTTATCCTAAATCTACCTTTGTGCTTGTGTCGAGGGTTTAAGTGTTGCTGTAGAAGGTGTAGTCTTGCAGTGATAGCTAATGTAGACCACTCTTGCGTTGTTTGCATTTATTCTACTGAAAACACTTAAGTTGCGCTCATTGACAGGATTGTACATTAAGTGGAAGCCACTCCGCTGCCGCCAGTTGCAGGATTCTTAATAAAATCTTTTTCGACACTAGCTTGTTACTCTTTACTGTGTTTTCAATCGAACCCGCTTTTTGAAGAACGACCTCCGCTATAGACGAGGAGGGATAGTCTGCAGTTGTAGGATGAACGAATTAATGGAGCTTGAGTGAAAATTGCCACCCTTAAGAAGATTCGACTTAAGAAGGGTGGAGAGAAGTCGTCTCTCCTCTCAAAAATCGTTCATTTTGATACAAACTTAATTGAGCAGTGAAACTGCATGCACAACAATATGGCGTGAATATTCCTCGTTCTAGGAGCCAATCACGCAAAACTATTTTTATCTCAACTAAATACACTTAAGCAGTAAAACGCCGCGAAGAAGAACGCTTTTTAAAGCTATTCTAGCCGTTTCCTGGTCAAACTCTGACAAAAAGGAAGCAAACTGTTCGAAATTTTGGTTTGCAAGCAGCTTTGGAAGTTAGGGCAAACTCAAATTTTTCACTGCCGCCTCGACTTTTCATTTTCTCTTCGTCCGCTAACAGTAATGCTCGTCGCTTCTTTGGCTTATTAGGCTTCATTTCGGTAAATAGGACAACTTTCCGCTAAAATCTAGACGATTGTAAAATTACGTTGAATGAAGTGCACAGAAGTAGACTAAGCGCGCTTGAGTGGGGAGTGGAATAAAATCTTCATTGAAAATTCTTGCCAATTTTAAGTATATTTTGGGCGTTTTTTTCTCTCCTGCCTGACTGAATAGTGGTCATTTTGGTATGGCTTCAAAATCCGGCTCAAAATCCCCCCCCCCTTCCCACCACAGCACGAGTTATGTGTGTCGACGCTCTCAGTGCATTTTTTAAGGAATTCGCGCTGCCTCAAACTTTCTCGCGCTTATTCCATCTCCTTTAATTCGTCAAATGTTGGCAAATTTCTTTGGAGTTGAATTCTAAAGGATTGTAGCAAAGTTCAGGAAAAGAAAAAGAAAGTTGTTGTTTTGTGTTCCCGCCCTCGACAAAACGTGAAATTAGGCGCTTTCACGTTGTAGTCGAGCAACGTGCTAAGAAATGTACAAAAAAGCGTGATGCACGTGCAAAGTTGTTTAGTTTTGGCAATCGAAACATATTGGTTTTTGTCGTTCTCGTTGCCGTCGGCGTCGCCGTCGCCGTCCTTGTTGTCGTTGGTTAAACTCCCTATGTTAAACCTGTCACAGTTTTATGTTAAAACTAATGGCGACTTCACTGGACAGAGGAGGCCAACCTCGTCCCCAGGGCGCTTTTCCCTGGCTTTGGGGGCGGGGCCAAAGCCAGGGAAAAGCGCCCTGGGGACGAGGTTGAGAGGAGGGAGCTTGGGTGACAGTACCCTGGCTCAAGAGATCGTTCTCGAAATACCTAAGAAGAACAAAAAATAACCTCTGGAACCCAGAGTAGGACGACAGCGTGTTGGACTAGCAATTCGTTGGTTCCGGGAGCGTGGTTGGTTCTCTCTGGATCTTTTGCTTCGAGAGGTTTTCGCCTGGTACTCTGGTTTTTTCTTCTCCTCTCCTCAACCAACATCTAAACTCTATTTTTTTAAAATTATATTTTATTGTTATTTTTTTAAATTTTAAGAAACTCTTCTTTAAAAAATCTGTCAAATTGAGTATATTTACAATGAAACAAGCCTTTTACAGTGTGAAATTTGAAAGAAAATAAAATAAACTTTGCCAATCGAGGCCTGTAGCCAGTTTTTTTTTCTGGGGTGCCATTCAACGAGTTGGCAGACCAGTAATGCCGGGGGGCGTGGAAATTAGGTCGTCTGAGACTGCATTACGAGCTTTTTCAAAAAATATTTGCATGTTTTTGAACTTCAAAACTGAATTTATTTTGGGCCCAGAGACTACTTTATTTTACAAAGTCTGAGGAAGACAATATCACTAATTAGAAGGAAAAAAATCGAAAGAAAGTTGTAAATCCGTATACCGTAATTTGCTTGGTTTGCTGCTGACCCGGGGGGTACTGCTGGGAATTCTTGTCGGGGTGTACCGCCCGGTTCTCCAAATCCTGCCTATTTCAGACCAAAAAATGTAATTTTTCACACCCTTTCTCAGACCAGACTTCCAAAATCCATATCCGTTTTCAGATCTGGGCTTTGGGCAAAAATTATGTTATCATTACTTAGATTAGCGCTCAAACACAAAAATTCTTCAAATCCATTTCGAATTCGCATATTTCTCTTCCGTCTTTCTTACTCATTTGGAGTGAAACGATAAATACTTTCATACGCTCCCGTAGTTCCTCGAAAACCATACCCGATTCCAGACCAAAATGGGCAAAGTGTATACCCGTTCTCAGACCAAAACAGCGCAAAAACCCTACCCGATATGCGTAGCCCGCGTAGCAGGGGCTTGGAAGTAGCGGGCGGAAGAGAGAACGGGCGCGCACGAGGGAGACACGCGTGTCTCCTTCTCTCGCGCGCGTTTTTTCTTGTGGCCACTATTTCCAAGCGCCTGCTACGCAGGCTAGATATGCGATGGGGCGGCACATACCTATATAGCTTATATAAGGGAGTACCCCCCCCGCCCCCTCCGAGGCTGCTGATCATCATGATCATTTAGGTCCATTCAGATCATTCAAGTTTCACCTGAAGTCAAGCCTCCCTTGAGGCATGCTTCATAGCAAACAAGTCAACCACTTCTTCCGGTTCAATGTCTGTTCAAAAAGTGGATGTGCACTAAGAGCTAGTGAACAGAGCCTCTCTTGTGCCTCGAATATTAATTTTCGAGCGTAAACTATCCCCGAAGAAAAATCTGCACAAACGGGGACAATTTGTACCTTCATCTCCTTCAAGCATAAGAGGATTCAAGATCTACCCTCTGTAATTAGCTGCTTAACTGCCAATTTGAAAACGACAAGTTTGGATCCTTGACACGTACGACCAGAACGGTTGTACCACCCTCGCCGCAAAAACAAAACGAAGTTTAAAAGTAATGTTGCGCTCTAGCCAGCAACTGTCACGATAACTGCAAAAGGAAAAATTACTAATATCAGTTTTCTCCAGCCTTAAGACTCGCGACACGCATTATTCTAGAACGTGTGAAAGGGCTTGGAGCTGAATGATGCAACACTCTTATCCGAGTGACAGTGCTACTTTTTTTATACTACAAGAGTAGAGTAGCTTTAATAGGAGCTTCAATATATCCTGCAAGTAACGCTACAAATCCTCCAAAACTTACCCGTTAAGGACGAAATGAAGGAGCAAGGGACGCCAGAAAGGGTTAAATGCCTTGAAGGCCATACCAAATCCCCTTAGAACTTTATAGCGGAGCTGCGCACGCGTGAGCGAAGCCCCAAGTGTATCTAAATGTCGTTGGTCGTGGGTAGTGGGTAGAGGTCGTGGGTCGTAGGTGTGGGTGTGGGTGTGAGTAAATGTCGTGGGTAAAAAGAGTAAAGAAAAAAATGATAAAGTAAAGTAATTGAAAAAAAAAAAAGAAAAAAATTGTAATAGTTATGAAACGAAAATCTCCGACTCCTTGATTTCCCTTTTCACGGCTTCTTCTTCGTCGTCTTCCTGATTTTTCCTTGGCCACGTGGGACTTCCCCTTTCACAACATCACTGTATAAAGAGACCTGTTGCCGATGACGATTTATTCATACCTGAGCGATCGCCGCCAAATAAAGAAGATGTCGAATATGTCGAAACGTACACTGATTTGCAGAAAGTAGGGGACAGCTCTGACTAGCTGAATGGAAGTAACTGCTCACTATTAATCTTAATTCGATCTACAATTCCAATGATCAGCGGAGATTTTTTAACGCCATGGAATGCGACAGGGGAATGTGATCACTGTGAAAAAGGGGAGGGGAAGTGAGGGCAAAAAGGACAACTTTTGAAATAACTGAGCTATTTCATATCTTTTGCTGTACGTAAATTTTATTGCGGTACGGAAATATGATTTTCTCGATTCTTTTTGTTTTGTTTTGTGTACAAAATCTTTGCTGTAACGATTGTGAATATCGTTCCTTAAACTGAAAGAACGTTTCAGTCAAGAATATTGACATCTTTGAGAAAAAGCCGTTCAGTGGGGGTGGGTGCGAGCGCTCCCCTCCATAAGAGCCTACTTTTGGTCACCATTCGTACCGGAAAACCAGAGGAGTAAAATTCTTCAATTTGATGCCACACGCTGTTAATATTTCTCTTTCTTTTCATTCCCTTGTTATTTATCATTAAAATACAAAAGAAGGGAAGTTTAACTGGCCTATTTACTCAAAAAATCATAAAAGCAGACTTTTTTCAGACACTCTGATTTTTTCGCAACTGCAAAAGTTGCGTCTAATGGCAGGGGGCGTAGCGTGAGATTTTGAGGGCGTACGCTCGTGGGGGTGAAAAATCGTAGCGCCGAAGGTGGCCCAACCTAGCGGGGTCTGGGGGCATGCCCCCCCCCCCCCACAAAATTCTTAAATTTGGGGTCTCGAAAAGGCCGTTTCCATACGCAGAAAAATGCCTTAGTTAGTTGTTTATTTTACTCATCCCTTGTGTTGTCGGTGAAAGAGGCCAATGACGCCATCAGAATTATGGAATGATAACATGAGGATAAAGGAAACATTAACACAAAGACATCAATATAGTGTGAAAAATGTATCAGTCGATTTAATGATAAAAATGCTTTTTCAGAAAATAAAAAAATATATCTTTTTCATATTTCAGCTACCGCCGCGGCGTTTATCAAATTTTTAGCGTTTCCGATGCAGCGTTTATTTTGAAATCACTTTTTTACAATCACTGGCAACAGTTATTGTAAATCGTTTGTAAATATTATGCATTTTTACGTTACATTATATTATTATCCATTTGTGGTGTTTATCGAATAAATACGGTATGCATGTGCATGCGCACGCTACGCTCATCTGAATGGCTGCCATGATCTTCTTTACATTTAATTCCCATCCGATTCATTCATGTTTCCTCTTTTTGCTCCTTTTCATTTTCATAGAAATAAAGGATGCCGACAATTCGAGGGAAACTCCCAGGGACAATGTTCAGTACTGGAAATGTCAGTCGGAGTGGCTAGACTAAAATGAAAAAAAAAAACAATAATAATGATATCAAGTCAGATTAAGTTTGAATTCTGAAAAAGAAAATCTTCAAACGTAATTTATTGTCACATCTCTGTATATATTTATTTAAAAAAAAAAAAAGAACGATGAGGTAAATATTTCTTAAAAATGAAAATTCTTCTTCTTTTGGAACGCGGGTACACGGGTACGCGGAAACAGAAAACCAAATATTACACGCGCGGTATCCTCGTCCTGCGAGCCTCTCGCAGCGTGGGACTGGAAGTGAGGAAATACGTCATAATCAGGGGTGGTGACGACATGGCACTAACTCGCAACCCTGTACTATATTTCTACGGCCATTTTTGTTCACCGGCAACCGTTCCGAAATTTGGAGCTCTTTTAGATCCTGAGTTTATGAATAGCATTTGAAGTATATTGTGGGAGAATATGGAACCTCTAGAGTGTAGAGGTTGAATTCTAAGGTAAGAATTGTATGATACTAAGATTTTCCGAAGCGCGAAAGCAACCTAAGTTTGGTATGCATGTTGCACCATTTCAGGAGTTCTTTTACAATTTCACGGCCAATAGACTTAATGATCACTTGACACTGAATCTTGTAGCCAGTGGTACATTTTGTAACCAATAATCTCTTGTATGTAGTCGGGGAGTAACTTCCCCCTATGTAGCGTGATAAAAATGTTGTCATCTTCTTGCAAGCGTTATAAAGTCGCACGCGTCCCAGCGATTGAAATTGACATTTCCCAGTATTTGCAACTTCGCCTAAGTTACGGGGTTTTTCTTACTGTGATCTAGTGTCTTTCCCCATAGTGATCATCGTGACAATAATTATCTAAGCAGCAATTTACTTCCAAGAAGTCACATGTCTGAACTAGATTATGTGGCAAGTGCTGTTTCCTATTAAGGAAATAGTGTGCGAATTGAATGTTCCGTAATGATACACGTCTACTTTTTATCGAATCTCAGATCAAGTGCGAAAAATTTAGCCATTGTTGTAATTTCATCCGTATCTATTTGTGGTCATCGAAATATTAAGTGCCGATAAACAGTATTGCCGAAGGAGAGCGAAACTAAGTCATCATAAGCGGAAGTACAAACCTAATGTACTATAAATCTCGGACAGCTACTCAGAAGTTCCCTGTCATATGAGTGGGAAAAGTGCTTGATGTTTGCTACGGTGAGTTGTCTAGGAAGAAAACTGTCTTATCTAATTCTCCCTCTTATAAGAGTTTCCTCCGTACATAAATCTGACGTATCAAAATAAGCTACAGTAGTTTGAGCAGTGGTGCTCTATTGGCTATAGATAGACGTTTGGCTTATGGCTTATGTATTAGGTTACAGTTTCAATAATTTTGTATTGTAAGCTTATTCATGACAATACCTTCAAGGGTGTTAATTCTCACATTATACCAAGTTGGAAAGAAGAGTTTCTGGACAAATTCCCTTTGCATTTTACACTTGTTATAAACAATAACCTGATTGTCTACCATTAAGCATGTTATTAACCCAATCTTGCCATTTATATCAATACGGTCATTGATCTATTAAATGCCCGGGGCATTTATTAAATTCTAGGGGTCCAAGAGGGGGTGTTTAATAGATGGGAGGAGTTTAAAAGAGAGAGGCGTTTATTCTTGTAACTTTTAATACAATATGCTTTTGGCCAAAATAGTTTCTATGTTAACAGAATCTCAACTGTGCGCTGACGGCTTTTTCCCTCCAAGGTTTCTAATTTAATTTTTTTTTCTCTTTTGCTACAATCAAGAGGGTACTTTAATGAGTGCGCACCAAGATCAAGAAAATCAAAGAGCGCTATCCTTACCTTGACCATGAAATTGAACATGACATAATACACAAACCGATGTTAATCAAACAATAAAATTACTAAGTTGATTGATTTTGCCCTATTTTGCCATTTCCTTGTATTTTGGAGCAATTTTCTTGGGGGGGCATTTGGTACAAACTTAACTGTGTAGGGAGGACGTTTATTAGATAAGAGGCATTTACTTAAGAGTGGGCATTTATTAGATCATTTACAGTATGCATATTCCTTACTCTGTTCCGCATATTTGAGCTCCATTTTGGCATAATCAGGATTGGGACTTTGACCAGTGTCATGTCCTTGCTTGCTTTCACTTATATCTTGACTATGAACTGCGTATACTATTCTCGAATAGCAAGGCTAAGCGGCTCAGTCCCCCACCATTACATTCAGTTTTACAAATTCATATTTATAGCTTAGGGGGTATTTATATGAGACCAGGATGAACTCAGACTGGTACGAATTTGTAATTTTTTTAGCCGTTTACATGAGACCAGGAAGAAATATGTTTGGTCAATTATATGGAACGAGTACAAACTCAAAAACAGGAGATTCTGGGAGCTATATAGCTTTCACAAGTTGATTATTTAACTTATTATATTATCTGTCCTAACTGGAGCACAATTTTTGCCAATGTAGACAGTGAGTAGTTGACCGAAGAGTTTACTGCTCCCAGAAAGTTATAAGCTTTATTTAATGCTCATCTGGTAGCCTGTTAATATTTACTGCACAGCATCTCAAAATGGTGCAATCTTTCACATTAATCCAAGCCTTATATTCAATTGAAGCTACTTCTAAGTCTTTCCATAGTGTGTGTTCCTATTTTTGCTAAGAAAAAGCAAAAATGATGGAGCCATACAAAGAAGCATGCTATTTATTGACCTGGTCTGAGATTCGTTTCCGTTTTACATGCATGAGAACGGTACAGACTCAGACCGGTACGATACGACCGGTACGACATAACTCATAACTTGAAGTCAGACCAGTCTAAGGTTATTTTGAGGCCGGTCCCATGTAAACGCATGAAAAGAATTGTATGGAGACCTATATGAACTCATAATGGTTTGAGTTCGTCTCAGTCTCATGTAAATATCCCGGCCTTAGTCCGTCTATACTGGTTAAGTTTATTGCCTGTACAGTAGAACCACACTTTATTATGGACACCTGCTTAAATTATGAGAACATCCATACAAAACGGACAGTTTCATTTGTCCCAACAAAAAGCTGATATTTATTCTCTAAAATTAACTCGCTTAATACCGACACCAGTTAATAAGCACAGTGGACACTTTTCTGTGTCCCGAGTCACATACTCTCATATATCATCAACCTTTCTTTATGGACACTGGTTATCGGCACAGTGTCTTAGACTTAATATCTTACCAATGAAAACCTAGCAGAAACAGTGAATGGCCTTTCAAACGTTCTGTCTCATGTTCACTCCACCTGGCTGAGCCGCAAACTAAGAGTGTGAGGTTTCTTTGGGATGAACTTGTTTAAGCTACAGATAAGAAATTAAACAATGTTTCCTTGTAAAAATGTCTGCTGTAGTCTTAAAACTGATAAAATATTGTACGTGACATTTCGTGGAAGAGCCCACGTAATATGAACACCTGGATGCCTTGGTGTCCGTATTATCCGGTTTCCACTGTATCTTTGTTTCTGCTGTGATGTTTGCATTACCGTTTTATAGTTATGGGTAGGTGGGAGAGGAAATCATGCCACTCTGTTGTCGTAATGTTACAGTTAGTGGTATCTTAGATGTGCACAAGCACTTCTCATCTATTTGCCCGCCACGTCGTCTTGCCTGTTTCTTTGTCTGACAATAATCCTTTGTTTTAAGCACATCCTACTCCCTATTGTCAAGAAGAGAACTTTTAAATCTGAATCAAGGAAACCCTTACTTTCCGGAATGAAGGCAGCACAGGAAAAAATAACGGATTCCCATTTTTGGATATTTTTGGGTATTTAAAGAATACCCAAAAAAATCCCAAATTTGGAAGAGTGAGACAAGTCCCAATCTGGGAACTTGGTTGGGAATTCCCTGGTTGGGACTTGTCTCACTTTGCCAAATTTGGGATTTTTATGGGTATTCTTTAAATACCCCAAAATATCCGAAAAGGGGAATCCGTTATATTTTCCTGTGCAGAGTTCACAGTAGATTTTCTAACAGAAGCCTAAAATGTAAGACTAGGCAGCTGATGGCTTAGCTGAAGAAAGGGAAAGCCAAACGTCTAGAGGGATCCGGGGCATTCTTCTTTATTGAGGTCATGCCACCCAGAAATAGTGTTTTGCTTTATTTTATTTTTGTTTTAATGATGACCATTGCCTTCTTCCCACATGCCAGCAAGTTTTCCTTCTTTTAGCGAAATTGGAAGATATCTTGCCTTCAGTAAAGTAAACACTGTGTTAATTTGGTCCTAGAAATTGACTCATTTAAGTGTTCTTTTCTCATCCCATGATTTTTTTCTGGATTTAATATACAGTTAAGTCTTTAAAGTTGAAGCACAAATAATTTGACATCATGGGGCTTGTGGTGTTGCATTGTGTGACTATTTAAACCATGATAAAAACCAAACTTCCTAAATCTTGTAAAAAATATCTTGATTCTTAGCTTCATTTTTGAAAGAAATGACATTAATGCTAAGATTATGTTAAGATCAAACTTTTAATTCCACTCAAAGTTATTTGGAGAATTATTTTTGGCTTATCTTTGTGATGGAAACAACTTGCTGCCAAGATGTTGTTGCAACACTTTCAATTGAAAGCAAATCTAACATAAACTGATGTATTTGCACACTATTAAATTTTCTAAGGAAAAAAGCCTTGATGAACCAAAAATGTTTCCAAATCATGTCCAGAAAATATGAATTCCTTACATCATCAATACCCCAGTACTTTCTATCTCAGCAAGATGACAGTCAGAGATCCCTTTATTGTACTTTTTTTTTTCAGGTGATACAAGAAATTATAGAAGGTGGAGTAAACCATTCCAAGAGTCAATAATGCCTCCACCTCCCCCTCCACCTCCTGGACCACCCCCTCCCCCTGCACCTAGATCTGGTCCACCACCAAAGTCATCTGGTAAACCTCAGGACAGGGGGGCGTTGTTGAGTCAGATCCACAAAGGAGCAAGGCTTAAGAAAGTAGAAACAAATGACCGCAGTGCACCAACTGTAGGAGGAGGTGAGCAATCTGATTCCCTGTTTGAGGGCTGTCACATAATCAGGGCTTCAATAAGGGCTGGTAGCCGGCCAAAACCGCCGGCTAGTTAGCTATCCTTAGCTGGCTGCTTTCATCTCCTTCTACCATAACTGCTAACAAAAAATATGCACCATCGAATAAAATTTGTTAAGCCTTCATTTCCCAGTTTTGAATGACATTGAACACATATTTAAACAGGTTTAGATCTGTGAAATGTTTGAACTGTGCGATGTCGTGGAACGCCTGGGACATTTCAATGGCATTGTTCCCAGTCTTGCATGTATTCTGATGAAAGAACATGGTGTCCGCAGCTGAAAATACATCTTGAAAACCCCTGGAAATGGCATTTCCGAGACTCAAAATTTCAAAATTTCAAGAACTTTTTCCTCTGGTGCAAGTTCCAAAGCTGCCTACTATTCATTATCAGGCTGCTGCTTAAAAACTTTTTGACAGCCCTGATAATAGGCCAGTTTCAAGTTATTAAAATTCATACTTGGCTGACCAAGGCTGAGGGCAATAAAACAAAAGAAGTTGCAGTGAGATTCAGGGATGAACTGTTTCCGTTTTGTTTTCTGTTCCTCAGCCTCAAACCCAAGTACGAATTTTAATAATTCAAAACTGGCTTCTTTTAATCGAATTCCCATCATAAGACCACCCTAATCACCCTTAAAACTGTAAATTCAAAATTTAAATTCTCATAATTTGTTGTCCCTATGGATGTAGCAGTGAGAAGTTGTTTAAGTATCTATCTAATTCACACTGTGTGATCATATTAATTATCGTTACCACTCTGTTTTTGAAAGTATGTTACCACCATGTTTCTAAAATTAATGGTATATTATTGTAACTGCTAGACTGCCTTAGTCAACTCAGTAAAGATGTTTGTAGAAAGGTCTTTCTGAGTAGTGCATTGTAACTAGTTACTTGCAACACTTGTACATCTAGCAGTTTGATTTGATATTTGTCATTGACAAGTAATGTTTTTTTGCAGTTAAACCAAGCCCAAGTGGTGGTGGCGGTGGCAGCGGCGGCGGTGGTGGTGGTGGCGGCGGCGGCGGTATGGGTGCAGCACCCATGGGACTTGGTGGTCTGTTTGCTGGAGGAATGCCAAAACTAAAATCAGCGGCAGAAAGAGGCAGACCTGGGACAGGAGGTAAATAAATAAAATAATAACAATTTAAAGTAGCACAAAGCAAGTAGAGTAAGTATACTAAGCTGACATTGATTATTTGCAGGAGCTAAAGGACCAGCCATGAAACCTCCAGGATTTAAACCACCTTCACCTAACACATCTGGTACCTCACTGCCACCAGCTCCCAGTGGTAATTCAAGACCACTTCCCCTACCTCCAGGCAGAGCAGCTGGGATGGCACCCCCTCCACCTCCACTGGGAAACAAGCCTTCCTTACCTGACAATTCAGCTCCTCCTCCACCCCCTCCATTGGCAAACAAGCCATCTTCTGAGAGCTCTAAGCCTCTTCCACCACCCCCGTCAGGAACTGGATCCAGGCCATTACCTCCGCCTCCATCAGGTGGTCCTGTGAGAGGGCCACCTTCCATGAGACAAGGTCCCCCTCCTCCTCCACCAGGAAGAGGAAATGCACCACCTCCTCCCCCTCCATCACATGTTTCTGCCCCAAGATCACCTGCACCCCCTCCACCCATGAGGAATGCCCCAAGCATGCCTCCACCACAACCCCCTCCCCCAAGGGGAGGACCCCCACCACCTCCTCCATCAAGGGGAGGGCCACCACCCCCACCTCCTAGTAGAGCCCCTCCACCACCATCCTCCAGACCTCCATCACAAGCTCCACCACCACCTCCGCCTATGAACAAACAGAGAAGTAGTGGACCACCACCAAGCAGGGAATCAGCCCCTCTGCCCCCTTTTCCACCCATGGCAGGGCTAGGACCACCACCTCCACCTATGAACAAACAGAGAAGTAGTGGACCACCGCCAAGCAGGGAATCAGCCCCTCTGCCCCCTCCTTCACCCATGGCAGGGCTAGGACCACCACCTCCACCCCCAGCAAGAGGAGGTACGGAGAAGAGAGGAGGGCTTCCACCTCCGCCTCCACCAACTGATAGGTTGTCAAGTTCTATGATGAATGGACCAACAAGGAACTCAATGCCACCTCCGCCTCCGCCTCTGGCTCCAAGCCGTAGTTATCCTGAAGGTAAGTCATGACAACTCTTTCGAAGCTCTCCAACAGTTAATTGAAGGAGTGCCCCAAGTGATTGCTGATCACTGTTAGATTCTCCTCTTCAATTTGCCTTGTTTATACTTGCAAGACAAAGAGAGAATTTGCCATTTGATCAGAGGTCTATGACAGCGGCAGCCCTTCATTTTAGAGGTGTCGTGAGATATTAAATTGCACAGGCCTGTGATTTTTCTTGGAGCAGTGTTCTTTGCTGTTATCCAGTATAAACTAAGTTCCTTTTTTTCTTTTAGATGATTTTGAATCAAGATTTCAATTTAATACCGATCTGCCACCACCAGAACCTTTTGTAGACACAGCAAAAACATATCCTAGTAAAAATCCCAAGAAGACTGGTAAGTTTTCCTTTGTTTCATGATGTAATGTTTCACACTGCATAGTTTGTTTTCTTTTTTTCAAGTTTAAAACACCAAAGCAGACAAGTGGCTTTAGACTTTGTGAACACAGACTGCATATTTATTAAAAAATAATTATTTGAAACAATAAACAAATTTTTCGGAAAGTTTTCAAAATTCTTTTGATAAATTTCCGAAAAATCAGTTTATTGTTTCAGTGCAGGTTCTTCCTTGAGTGTCCATCTGATGGGGGAATCTGAAGACTTAAGACCATGTGGACCCAAATCAGAAAAATACTTGAGTGTACCCCTTGAGCGTGATGTTATTTTAACTTCAGGGTCTGTGAAGGAAATTATAAGGTTTGACCATTGAATTGACCTCACCCCAGTAATCATTTGCATTTGCTTTGTTCAGTTGTTCAAAAATGAATTGTAGGATTTACTTTTGACTTGACAATATTCCTTTTCTCCCTCAGCCTCAGGCAGTACAAAAGCCTCTGGGAACCCCAGTGGAAACCGAGCAAGTGGACCCCCACCTAGGGCTACTCCCCCACCTCCTCCACCATCAAGAGGGGCTCCACCTCCTCCACCCCCTCCTCCGAGGAGATAGGACTTTCATCAATGCTTATTAGTAATTTCTAGGAGAAAAAAATTTTTTAAATTGGTGCAGATCTTCAAGACCATATACTTGGTGGTATTTGTATACAAGAAGACTTTTTGTAGTCTACTAACTTCAAAACCTCATAGTTTGCCGAGGTTGGAGAAATTTGTGACAAAGGATCCAATATATATATAGATAACTCATGTGAGAATGGTGATAAAAGTTATGTTTTCTTTAAATCAAAAACTGGGTACATCAGTGAGTGCACCCTTAATTATACAGAGTAGCAGTTCCTTGCCTTGCTAAATGCTGTGCAGAAAAGTAAATATCGCACTGAAAAGTGCATGACATCTATTCCTGAAGGGACTAGTACAGTGATTGGGTTATGATACGCTAGTGTCACATGATTCTATGAAAAATATTAAGAAGAAAATGCTATGCAATAATAATTAATAATAATTTTTTGTGTAATTATCATTTTAGAAATGAAAGACACTCTCTTGTAAAGCCACATCACAAATAAATTTTAAATGTCTTTGCAGTAGGCACATTTTTTTCTGTATAATTAGTTCAAGACTGGAAAATTCTGATTTTTTGTAAATAAACATAATGGTTTGGTGTGGTTCCATATTGCTGTGAATAGAAAGCTGTCACTTCAGGACCGGGCTGTTTAAGGCTGGGTCAAGATAACCCATGGTTAGTGCAAAATTTGAAATCAGATTTGTCTACAATTTTATGGAGAGTAGATAATCTTAAGAGAATAGAGAAAATTATCCAGGAAAATGCTTTCGAATGAAAGAAAAGCGAACCTGGATTTAAATTCATGAAATTCATTTAATATTTCCACGTAACCCATTTTGGAATTTTATATTGCAATCAGTGGTGATTGAAATTAATGAACATATTATTTTCAAATTTCAACTGGCTTTAAACTAGGAGCGTTTGATTGACCCCATTCCATAATAAAAATAAAGCCCTAGAAATCACTAACTTGTTTTGTTTCAAGAAATCTTCTTGTAATAAAATATTCTGATGCATGTAAAGTTTTTAGACTCTTAACCCTTTAAACCCAAAGATCAAAATTTTGAATTCTCATTTTTTGCCTCTATTCATTTCCTACAGAAGCAGTGGGGAGAAATTGATAAAAAATCAAGCAAATTCATCTTGTGTGATCATGTCTGTAATTCTCATGACCACTCTGTTTAACAAAGCATCGATATCACAAGGAGAACTTTGATGCCAATCACTCTTAGTGCTTGAAGGTCTAAATACCATTTAAAAATGGTCAAGAAATCACAGTAGATGAGATTTGTATGTTCAAAACTTGTGCGCATTCTTATTTTTCAATTCAGTCAATCCAGTGCACCCAAGGAAACAATTTTAACCCTGCTCATTTTGACATCATTTTGTGATCTGTAACTAAACAGATGTATGGGGAAAACAAAGTAGAGAGCATTAGTGTTTACTGTTCTGTGCAGTTTGCCTTGACTTTGATTGTGTGGTTCCAAAAGGTGTCCATACCCACCCCCTGAAGAGTCACTGGAAATGTCAAGGTGTAGGAGAGTCTTGAAGGTCAAAGCTAAACTGGTGCAGGAGTAGGGGGTGGATGAATGGCCAAGCAGTCAGAGTCTCGCACTCACAATCTTGCGGTCTTGGCTTGAGTTCCGCTCCAACAACTGGCTGATCAGTAGAATTTGTTTTTTGGTCATTGTGAATTCAAATCCTTGTAATGCTTGTAAACAGCTAACCGGTTGCCTAGCTACCAGTTGGGTTCTTTTTATCCTGTTATGTTCTACTTTGAGTTTTGTTTCTAATAATTTACTTGATTGTAGTACCTGAAAAACACACATTCAGTGATAAATACTTTCTCAGTTCTTTTAGCTTAAAGAACAAAAAATTCAACAGAAAATTAATTTTTATCCAGAACTTGTGCAGCAGGAGAAACCGTGATGCGTTGCTCACTTTTAAGTAGACAATGATCAACCAGCTGTTAAACGTGTTTTATTTTCTTGTTTTTTTTCACTCCCTATTTGCAACACTAAAATTCCTTTCTGTGTCTTGATATCCTGAAAAAATTATAATTACATCCTTGCTGTTGTTCACCATCTGATCCAGATGGCATCAACACTGCTGAATGTCATCAATGTCTGGATGATGTTTTACTTGATAACTCCTGGGAATGCAGTTTACGAATATTTTCTAGTTCCTCCATTCTCTTCTTATGTTCTTGTTCTTCCTGTTACAAAAAACATGAATGTTCTTTACAAAACTGAGGTAAAAAACAAGAACTTACTCTTCACTGATTACAGAAAAATGTCTGGCTTTGCATGTTCCTGTAAATTAACTGGCAGGGGTATTTTGCAGAATGCCGAAAGGCTGCTAAACATTGAATGACTCTGAAGTTTATAGTGATTAGGGTTAGGAAACTGAGTGAATCACGTTCCTATATTTAGGGTCATTATACTGGGCAAAATCACCTGAAACGTGATGCACTCAGTTTCCTAAGACTAATCACTAAACTTCAGAGTCATTTAGCATTTGGTGTTCTGTGAAATAACCCTGCTTTTCTTTAGACAAGCAGCATGCTTTGACACTTGTCATCCGTGTGCTATATGACATGAAGGTGAAGCATAACTTAATGTTGCAGATAAATAAGCATCACCATCTACATCAAAAATAATTTTTTCTTCCATGCAATTAAGAAATCACACTTTATTTTCTTCGACAAAACAGGTTATGTTTCGTGCTTATATGACTTAGCAAGCTGATAAAATGACAAGTGCACTACAGACGTAACAAAAACTGTAAACACATGCCCTCTAGAGAGCTATCGTTATCTTTAGTTAGCTATGTATTTGTGTGTAGTTACATTGTATCATGTGCATAGTTCATCATCATCAGTAAAGAAACACCCACCTTCAACGTCCTTATTTTTGCTCTCACAAGAATGTCATTACAGTGCTGGTGTAGTGAGCCTAAAAAAAATTTAAGACAATTGCTGTCTGCCACTTGAATGGACAAAAACTAAATACTATTTGCAAGATCTTCTCAAGAAATTATATACCTACCTATCAGATGATTCACTCTGTGTAATAGAAGTGTTGGGAGAGTGGGGGAAGGGTTCTCTGTGACTGGGTTGGGAGGGTGGACATACAGAGGGGAGGGTGGATAGGAGCATGGACACTAGAGGAAGCTATCTAGTAAATGAGACTAGTAGGATAGCTGAGTTGGGCAGGACAAGTTGCCTATAGTTGCCAATATCACAAGAATCTTCATTTTGAAGGAGGTGGGGTTTCGTAAAGCAAGAAGAAGAATATTATTAGTGGTGGAGGTTGCAATGGGGGTAGGGAAGGCAAGATAGGTTATACCAGTTTTATTGGCAGAAAAATTAAACCAGAGCTAGCAAACTACCACAAATTTTACAATCTGATTGGCCTACATACCCACTATCTAAATCTGTCTATCTCGCTATATCTACTCATGTAGAGAGTAGTTAGCCAGTGTTATGAACAAAACTGGAAAAACAATAGCAACTTCTTAAACTTTGTCTTTGTTATGTTTCTAACACGAATTAATAAAATGCTATCTAAGAGTATATAATAGTAATTAAGGCACAGGGCCCTGGAGGCGTGTGTGGCTGAGCAGTTAAAACCTTGAACTCCAGATCTGGAGGTGTGTGGTTCAAGCCTCGCCTGTTGCGTTGTTTCCTAAGACAGAGAACTTTCCTCCATTTTGTTTCTCTCCCAAGCTGTACAAAAATGGGTACCAGTCACATACTGCTGAGGGATAACCCTGCAATGGACTAGTATCCTGTCCAGGGGGGAGTAGCAATACACCTCAGCATGCTTCATGCTAAGGAAACTGGGGATAAGCTCAGGCTGTTTGGGCCTTTGGTTCATATGCACCTTTGCATCACCTTTTTACAGGGACAACTAAGCACAGCTGAGTATTCTTGAAGCATTTGATTGTCTATTATACCTTGCTTTGATTCCACTGAAATATTCTTTTCTTCTTCCTCTTCTTGGTCATCACTTTCTTCATCTGAGTCACTCTCACTGTCAGTTCACAAAGCAACTTCGATCAGTGGGATAAAATTAATATTTAAATCTTGCACATAACAAGAAATTTAGTGATCACATCTACAAATTAGACTTGTTTTAATGGCTAAAGAACTTATAAACCTGTTGCACTCTTATTGTCCCCAAATAATACTTTTTATTGGAAACATTTTCCAAATCAAATAGAGATTTGAAATGTTGGTTTTTAAGGAAAGGGGAAATCAGGAGTAGCCAGAGAAAAATCTCTGAGGGTAGGGAAGACAGGCAAGAACAAACTCACTTCACACATGGTGTCACTGCTGGGACTTGAACCTGCAGGGCCACACTGGTAACTGGCGAGTGCTCTCACCACTGCACCCTCCTTACTCCAAAAGGTTAATAAAGGCAGTGCTTAGTAGACTGGTAGTTTGGAGACCCCAAGTTCAAGTCCTGCCCTGGCAGCTTGCTGGAATTTTGTTCTCGGTAGTCCCGAGTTCAAATCCTCGGCCACACTTGCAAAATAGCCAACTGCATATGGTTTGCCTACTACCAGTTGGGATTTTTAACCATGTTATGTTATACTCCATTAAATTTTATTTTGTTTCATTATTCCTGAAAAGCCCTACAAGAGGAGAGGATGATTTACAGGCATCGCTTAGATTTCAACTCAGGACCGCCAAGATGAAATTTAGTTAGCTGTCAGGGCAGAACTTGAAATTGGTGCCTTCGGGATGACCTGGCCATGCTTCACTCCTACTTGTTGATACTTTAAACACAAGCCAACATAAATCCAAGGCATCGTACATACATACACTGTTTACAGGTAGCCATTTCGACACCTAGCTGAAGGAGGATCATTAGGTTATCGGCTTATGGTATTCGACAAAACAAGAGGTTATCCCTAAATTAACATCTCTCCTAGCTTACAGATAACCCACTTTTCACAGGAAAGTACAACTCTAAAGGAGAATTCTTACAAGTCCCAGCAATTGGTAGCAAAAGGTTATAACATCTGAAAAACATACACAGCAGCACAACCAGCCTGAAGTCGTTCCTCCCTTGTTATGTCTTGACCATTCAGTTGCTTTAACAGTGGCAGGGCAACAAACAGTTTTTTCCTAAAAAGAAAAGTCAATGCATTGTTTACTTAGTAATAAAAATAAAATAATGATATTATAATAATTTAATATAAAAGCAGATAAATAGAATCTTTTCCTCAGAACCCTTTGCTTCAAATTTAGAATAAGAATAAGGCATGGGGATTTAAGTCATTGTTTTTAAATTGTGGCACACTGTGATCTACGTACACTAGTTTGGTAAATTTGATAATGAGATATTGCATATAATATATCATATTAAACTAATATTACATACAATGTTTACAGGTAACCATTATAAGCACTGTAACCCCTGAAGAAGGATTATGAGGTTATCCCTTTAATATGTAAATTAAGCTTATAATTTATATACTTAATATATACATTAAGCAATAAACTCAAACGTAATAAACTCTAAGCCAATAAAAATAATGCTCTCCCAACTGAGCTAACTAGGTGGCCACAGACATTATGCATATTAAATGCATGAGGTTCATAGCATAAAATAGAAAAGCTACTTCAAATGAGCCTGTATAATAAAATGTGACAGTATTTTTGTTTCACAAAGGATGTTTACAAGCTTGAACTTAACTGTTATTTATACTTCAATATATATTGTACTTTATTTTTAAAGAATGGAAAAAACTAGGCATTTTTATTAGCCAGGCAAAACATACTTGTAATCCACAAGATGAGTGCAGGGATTTCCCTTTAAATTCAAAATAATTAAACTTGCTGGGAACTCTCCTGTGAAATGAATAGAAAAAGAAGTTGTGAAAGTATGCCAACAGTTCAATAGTTCTAAGTTTTTCAATGGATAAAACAGTTTTACATTAATTATAGTTAAAGAGTTAATAATTATAAACCTTCATCAAAATCCTTCACCAAGTTGTCAGAAAGATCCAAAAACTGCAATTTTGTGAGGATCTTGAGATTTTCCACTTTTGTTATTTTGTTATCAGCTAATGTCAGGAATCTGTTGACCAACAGTAATATGAAACCCGCATTAAACATCACTGATACTAAACCAAAATCCCCCATCAAAGTATGGACTTTAAGCTGTAGTTTCTATACACAAAACATACTTAAGCTTGGGAAGAACTTCAAGATTCTCAATTCTTGTTATTTGATTCTATGGAAAACAACACATGATTAAAGCAAATCAAGATTAAATTTTTGAAAGGCTTATTTGAAAATTAACAAGTGACACTTAAGTAAATAACAGATCAACATGCAGTGAACTGGCTAAAGCTGGTTGAGAAGTTAAAATTAAGTCATCAACTGCTGTTAAACCAATTCAAGCATACTCCACAACATCCTCGGAGACCCAGGGGCAGTCAGTCGGGCCAGGAGAAATGGCCCAACCGACTGTCCCTGGGTCTCTGAGGATGACTCCACAATAGATTCTATTAAATAGCAAATACGTTATTTGGAAATTGAATCTGTCAGTTGCTGGCACTACTGAGTCAAATAATTCAAATTTTCATTCCTTCACAGATAATGAACAGTGAATTAGTAACATCAACATCTTCTCTGTATCTGGTTACTTTCTTGGGGGGACTCAGAACATGTAGGGATTTATGGGCTGACTTTGTCGACTTTTGATTAATTTGAAACATTAAATCACATACACAAAGATGGCTAGCCCAGAAGAGTGTCCCTGGGCTCTAGAGTCTGTCCAACCCTTTGCGTATGTAAAATCGGGGTCTTTTTTTAATAACCAAAGAATCAGGTGAGCACTGAGGGTGCAAGCAGCAAGGGGGGCCTGGGGGCATGCTATCCCAGAAAATGTCTTTTGAAATTTGATGCTCTGAAATGCTATTCCTGTGTTCTGCCAGGAAGGTCATTTATACTTTATTAGAATTTATATAACAATAATACAGGAAATGATTTGACCCGCAGATACCAAAGACTAATCGAGGTGGGTCATTACACATATTCACACCATGAATATTATTTGATTAACTACTTAACAAAAGGAAGTTTGAATTGAAAATAAGACACAATAAAATAAAAAGAAACAAATGGAAAAGGACACAAAGTGTGAGTAAACAATTTTGCTGTGAGAATACAGAAAAGACAGATAATCTTATCCTATATTATAGTTTTTTAATTTTGAAGTGATGTCATCAAATTCAACATATTATGAATCGTGTGCTTTTAGAAAGTCAAATAGTGCAACTTTAATTTTTTTTTTGAGAAGGCCTTTTTAGATAACATTTTAAAGTAATTAGGTAAGATCTCATTCTGGGTTTTGACGCCAACACGGCAGAAAGCTTTCTTTTGTACATCAAGTCTGGAATTCTGAACACTAAAATGTTGATCAGTTAAGGAGCGAGTAGGGTAGGAATGGATACTTGAAGTTCTCGAGAAATATTTCATGATGCTAATCGGTTTCTTTCTAAAATGTTTGCTCAGTCAATTGCTATTTTTATGCCCATTTTTATTTGTATGTTTTCACATACAAGGACTCGACTTTGTTTTTTTTGTTTTTATTTCAGGCGGTATATTTCAGTTTGCAGGGTTTCAGTTTCAGTTAAGTACACTCTGTTAGGTGTTCTTAATTTGTGTTATCCTAACAATGTATTTGAAAATATCAAAACAGATGTCAAAATCAGGATTTTTCCTATCCTGATCGCATATTGGTCGGGATTCGGGATTTTCAAGCAAAATTAGGAGAATCCTAATGAGATCAGAATTGTTGGACAGTCTGGGTCTAAAAACAGATGTTGTCCTATACAGGGGCGGTGGTTCATGAATTATATACAGGTCACTGCACTGTTTTATCTATTAAACCAATGGTTTTCTTTCGATCATAACCATTATTTTGATAGGGATTAAGGAGACACTTCTGGTCCTGTTTATTCATCTGTAGCATGTGACCTGAATAATTCCTGATCTGTGGAACGTGAACTTTAAAATTATACCCGCCATTCATTTAAGTCCAAAACAGGGTCAGGGTTTTAAACCTTAAGTGGTACACGTCCAACTTATGTCCCAACAAAGGGTCAAGAATCGCCCCCACCACACACATCTCACAAACCACCCACCCCCTCCCTCCACCCAGTCCAGCACAAAAAGGCCAAGATAAGCACTCCATACTTTCTGTAAATACAAATGAGTGACAGGCCCAAGGCAGTCCAGGTTGTCAATCTCACTTATCTTCTCCCGGTCCAGCCTGACATGACTCAACTCTAATAACTGAGTAGCCCTGTTACAACAAAAACAAAAGTTAACAGAAAAATAAAATTATGGTAGTCATGTTAAGACGACAGTATTGATAGCAAAGGTATACGTTTACGCTCACATATCATCTGATGATCTGCCCACAGTCTTGATGATATTTCGCCTCGCAATCAACGAAACAGAAATTTTCTGACATTTTTCTGCAACCATAAGTTAAAAACAACATTAAGCTTAAGCTTATTTGCTATATTCAAGACCGCTTTACAATAAAATTTCTCACTCAGAGTTGAAGCAAGGCTAGGAAGAATACGTACCATCCTTTTTGGTAGTATGCTCCATTTTTCAAGCTTTGATCTTTATGCATAAACTGTTAAATGTCTTAGGTAATGAGACATTCATTCGTGATCGGTCTCAGGATGTTTTTGCCGCCATCTTGGGTTATTCTTTCATGTTACGCTTACGCCAAATAGATATATCCTTCATGTAATAGTAATAGATTGTTTATCTCCCTGTATACCCTGTATACCCATGTATACCCTGTATACCTATGTATACCCTGTATACCCTGTATACCTATGTATACCCTGTATACCCATGTATACCCTGTATACCCTGTATACCCATGTATACCCTGTATACCCTGTATACCCATGTATACCTTGTATACCTTGTATACCCTGTATACCCATGTATACCCATGTACTCCCAGTATACCCTGTATACCCTGTATACCCTGTATACCCTCTATACCCTGTATACCTATGTATACCCTGTATACCCATGTATACCCATGTACTCCCAGTATACCCTGTATACCCTGCATACCCATGTATACCCATGTACTCCCAGTATACCCTGTATACCCTGTATACCCTGTATACCCTGTATACCCATGTATACCCTGTATACCCTGTATACCCATGTATACCCTGTATACCCTTTATACCCATGTATACCCTGTATACCTATGTATACCCTGTATACCCTGTACACCTATGTATACCCTGTATACCCTGTATACCCATGTATACCCTGTATACCCTGTATACCCTGTATACCCTGTATACCCTGTATACCCTGTATACCCTGTATACCCATGTATACCCTGTATACCCATGTATACCCATGTACTCCCAGTATACCCTGTATACCCTGTATACCCATGTATACCCATGTATACCCATGTACTCCCACTATACTCTGTATACCCTGTATACCCTGTATACCCTGTATACCCATGTATACCTTGTATACCTTGTACACCCTGTATACCCTGTATACCCATGTATACCCATGTACTCCCAGTATACCCTGTATACCCTGTATACCCTGTATACCCATGTATACCCATGTACTCCCAGTATACCCTCTATACCCTGTATACCCTGTATACCCTGTATACCCTGTATACCAATGTATACCCTGTATACCCATGTATACCTTGTATACCCATGTATACCTTGTATACCTTGTATACCCTGTATACCCTGTATACCCATGTATACCCATGTACTCCCAGTATACCCTGTATACCCTGTATACCCTGTATACCCATGTATACCTTGTATACCTTGTATACACTGTATACCCTGTATACCCATGTATACCCATGTACTCCCAGTATACCCTGTATACCCTGTATACCCATGTATACCCTGTATACCCATGTATACCTTGTATACCTTGTATACCCTGTATACCCTGTATACCCATGTATACCCATGTACTCCCACCCTGTATACCCTGTATACCCTGTATACCTATGTATACCCTGTATACCCATGTATACCTTGTATACCTTGTATACCCTGTATACCCTGTATACCCATGTATAACTATGTACTCTCAGTATACCCTGTATACCCATGTATACCCTGTATACCCTGCATACCTTGTATACCTTGTATACTCTGTATACCCTGTATACCCTGTAATAGTAATAAATTGCTTTATTTGCATGACCGCATCACTTTACAGTATTGCAAAAGCATGTATATGACAATCAAAATAAAAACAAAACAGCACTAATAACAATCTAGAAAAATTCGGTTACATTACTAACAATGAATCACGTATTTTCATGCAGGAGGAGACAAACTTCATAACTAACTTATTTACATGATGTTCCTTCGAATTCATTATCAGTTTTATGCTTTCCGGAGATGATTTCTTGTCAAAGTCAGGTATTATTCGATTGATTTGATTAATAAATGCCTGTCTCTGTACTGAGTATTTGTTACATTGAAAGAGGAAATGAATCTCATCTTCTACCTGATTTGAGTTACATAAAGGACATAATCTATTTCCTCTTGGCAAATGCTCGATTTGGTATCGACCATGTTCAATCATAAGTTTGTGATTACTTATTTTAAATTTAACAAAATTCTGTCGTTCGTCATAATGTCTTAGCTGGTAGAGATAATCAGATGTAGAATATTCATCTTTAAAAGTTTTATAAAATTCTAGTTTTTTTGAATTTTCGAGGCTGTGCCGCCAAAAAGATAGATATTTCTCTCTCTGGTATATCGTCTAATTTTATTATTATCTAGAGATTCAGCATCTAAACTGGTTAGATTGTATTGTTCAAGCATGTTTATGAAATTGGAAAAATATCCGGAATTATTCATAGAATGTAGATTCTTTGACATAAGGAAAGACTGTTTGACTATAGAGTCATTACCTTTGTTGTTGAGGTAAACAAAATATTTCATAATTTTCTGATTTATCGGGATAAGCAGCGGCAGTCTATCAAGTTCAGCTCTGCAGGCTATGTTAGAGGCCTTATTGTTAACCTCTAAGTAACGTTTACAGAATTTGAGGTGGATTTTTTCTATTGGGGAGCTATCCCATTTTTTAAAATCTTGCTTGGTGTACATTCCCCATACCTCGCTGTTGTAACTCAAGATTGGGAATACCATGGTGTCAAAAATTTGGGATGCAGTATTAGGATTAAGTTTGTTAAGAATTGTCCGCTTCCGAATACTAGAAAACGCGTGAAGGGCCTTTTCTTTTAAGTGTTCGAGTGCAAGTGTAAAGTTTCCCGTTGGAGTTAAACGTGTACCTAAATAAGTGTATTCTTGGACAATTTCAATTGACTCACTGCCTATGTTGAATTTGATGTCAATAGATTTTTTTGGGCGTTTCTGGAATATCATAATTTTTGTTTTCTTGGGATTAATTTTTAGCTTCCATTTGTCACAATACAAAGAAAGCGCATTTAAACAGTTCTGTAATCCAGTTTTCGATCTTGATAGAATAACTAAATCATCTGCGTACAAAAGTGAATTTATTTTTTTCCCATTTGGGAGAACAAATGGGTCAGATAAGGTGTTTTCGAATAAAAGTGGTAGATTGTTTAAATAGAGGTTAAATAAAAGAGGACTTAAAATACAGCCTTGACGTACACCTCTGGAATATGAAAAAGGCTGTGTTTTGTTTTCACCGATTTTGATGGAACATGTCGAGTTGCAATAAAGACTTTTCATGAGGTTGTACAAGTTTCCTCCTATATTCGTTTTTAGCAGCTTATAAAACAATCCTTCGTGCCAAACAGAGTCAAACGCTTTGCGGAAATCTACGAAACAAGCGTAGACTTTTTCCTTGTGATAATGCACATATTTATCTATTAGGGTCCTTAGAGTGAAAACATGGTCTGCAGTGCGGTTTTCAGGCAAAAAGCCAATTTGGGAATTATGTAATATCTTATTTTCCTCAAAATACAAGTGAAGTCTTCGATTTAAAATAGAACAGAACAGTTTTCCAAGGCAACTAGAAACACATATGCCTCTGTAATTTGTTGGATCACTCTTGTCACCCTGTATACCCCTGTATACCCATGTACTCCCAGTATACCCTGTATACCCATGTATACCTTGTATACCCTGTATACCCTGTATACCCTGTATACCCCTGTATACCCATGTATACCCTGTATACCCTGTATACTCATGTATACCCTGTATACCCATGTATACCCTGTATACCCTGTATACCTTGTATACCTTGTATACCTTGTATACCCTGTATACCCTGTATACCCCTGTATACCCATGTGCTCCCAGTATACCCTGTATACCCTGTATACTCATGTATACCCTGGATACCCATGTATACCCTGTATACCCTGTATACCCATGTATACCCTGTATACCCATGTATACCTTGTATACCCTGGATACCCATGTATACCCCTGTATACTCATGTATACCCTGTATACCCATGTATACCCTTTATACCCTGTATACTCATGTAACATGGCAAGACCAAAAAAGATGAATTAGCGTGTCTCAGGAATTGTTGCAATTTTCGTCCTATTTTAAGTCAGAAATCATTGGTTGGTATGCGCCTATGTGATAGTATAAATTGGAACTCAGTTTGGTGCTTTTTGTGCACCGTACTTTGCGCCATAAAATAGGTAAGTTCTTAGTTATATGTTCCTTCTTCGTCTGAGTAGTTACAGTCTTGAAGTCATTTTAGTTGGCTTTTACGTGCGGTTAAACTATTGGCTCTGGTCAGCTTTTGGTAAGTTAATGGACCTAGCTTTTCTCTTTTAACAATTCAGTTTTCACTCGGTGTTTCAAAGTTATAGTCTTTTGTCTCAGCAGTATCGGTAACATTTTTGCGAATTCGTTGAACAGCTGATAGTAAACCGTAAAAACTGAGCGGGCGTACTCTTAAATCATGTTTGGAGGCAAAATCTTTGAGAGTCAGAAAATTATCGTTTCCCGTTTGGACGTGCTTAATTTTGGAGATACTTATTTCAAACCACTCTTTAAAAAAGAAATTTTTCATTATCTATCCTTATCAAAGAGTTGAACCACAGAACCTGTTCTTGACAAGCGATATCAGAACTTACTTTATCCACAAAGTTTATTTCTTTCCAATATTCCAATTTTTCTTTAGTTACGGGGTCCGTTGCCCTAATCTCTTTCATAGTGTCAGAGACGTTGAGTCTCACCGGTTGAGATTACCACGGAAAATGAGATTGCGGCCGTAGTTCTCCAGTTATAGATCGAAGATAACGTTCCATTTTCCGTTTTAAGTAGCGTCCAAGTACTTTTTAACCCATGTTGTTTTAAGACATTTGTTGAAAGGATAAAGGTCAATCATCTTCAGACCTCCATACTCAGGTTCATTGATCATAACTTTTCTCTTGATTTTGTCACCTTCACCATTCCATAGAAAATGGTAAAACATGGCATTTATTTCCTTTGTAGCGTAATGATTTGAGCGTAAAAGGGAAGAGCAAGTATACCAGTTGTGATGCGGTCAGTGAGTTAAGGACAGTAATTTTCCCTAACAACGTGAGCCTGCAATATTTCCAGCAACTCAAAAGCTTCCTAATGTTTTCAGTTTTTTCGTTGTAATTCAACGTCAAAGCCATGTCCGGATCGGTTGACAGCCACAGACCAAGTGTTTGACTTTATATTTTGGCCATTTAAACTTCTTTCCTGAAACAAGGATTTGTTCATGTGCTGTCTTAGAACTGATCCAAAGGGCTTCCGTTGTGCTATCGTTTAACTTGAGGCCGGAGATCTGACAAAAATCATCTAAACTTTGTATTGCTGGTATAACGGATTTCTCTCAACCGTCTAACACAAGAGTGATATCATCAGCGTGTTGGCTTATCTTAACTTCGTCATTACTCAGAGAAAAACCTGTTATGCCCTTGTTGTTTCGGACGGTCTTGGCCAAGATCTCCGCAGCAAGAATAAACAAATATGGAGAAAGGGGACAGGCTTGCCTAACTCCCCTTTGAGTCCGAAAGAAATTGCTTGAATGAGCTCATTCAACCATTGCTGAGTACACAGTTTTCGCATTTTTGATTAAGGATAGCCTTTATCCTCATCAGATGAAACTTTTAATTACTTATTATTTTAATTACTCATTATTTCGTCCGGCGTTACATTATTGGCTAAGGCAATGTAAATTCCGAAGTAAGCTAAACTGATAAACAATTAGGTAATACATAATAACTTCATCGCTCAATTTATTGTGATTTACCAAGGCCACCGACTTTAGATGTTTACTGCATAATATCAACTTCTTATAACTCTTAAAATTCCTGCGCAGGGGTGGTTTGGACATCAAAAGAGGAAACAGGGTTTGACTTTGAAGGATGCAAATTACATAAAACATACATAACTTACATAGACCTCAAAACAGTATAGTACTCTGCAAAGGGAGGTATTGGTTTAGTTACAAGAAAGGTGTGAACATTAACTTATACAAATATTACAACGTAACATTTCCCAGGTTCGCGTTCAAAACATAAATAAAACTTTACAGCGAATTTAACAACTATGAGTTTAGAATCTCTTGGGAATCTCATATAGATCTGGTGAGAGTAAGCACACTATATTGATATTCTTTGCATAAAATTATACGGTTCTCATTATCGATCATATGGTGTTCTCTTACTATTACGTCCATGCACGGTACACAGCCACATACTATCTAGTATCTAACGTTTCCTTAGCTTATCATACTTTTTCTTTTTCATCGTAAAGCACCTGTAAGGAATGGTGAAATATGGGAAGAACCATTAGAAAAGCGAAACTATTTACGACTTTGACTATTTTGCTAAACATGTCACAAAAATGACTGTTGTCATTTTTGACATCATTCTTTGAGTTGACATGCTGGATAATAGCATGCATGACAAAGAACTCGAGCTCATTCAATCCAGGATCTTTGATTTTTTCGTCATTTTCTTCCAGTGAAAGTCTTGATCGCTTCGCTTTCACGGTATGCCTGTATTTTTACTTCGCTTTCTCGGTGTTCTACATTTTTTGTCTCGAGGAAGCCTTTGGTTTCCCACATTGTTTGCCTTGGCACCATCCACAACAACTGCATGCGCTCATACAGGTACCGTATTCGTTGATGCACTTGCACCTGCCTTTGTAGTTCCTTGACGCTTTTGCTTTTGATTTGTATTTATTTTTTTCTCCGCATCGACATGGTTTTCTTGGAGTTGAGATTGGCACTTTCTCCGTGGAAAGCGTGGACTGACTCTCGAGAGCATCGAGATTGCTGTTTGTTTCAGAAGTGAATCGCTCCTGCTGATCACGTTGAGAGCTAATTAGCGCATCATAGTGTCCTGGACCACTTGCATTATACGCGAGATAGACGACGTTTGAGGCTGGCACCATCCCTTCAGGAGAAATCATCACAAAAGGAGTCAAAAAACTTGGATTTAAGACAAATAAAGGTATTTGAATAAAGTAGTAACCTGAGGCACCTCTGCCAGTAGCCAATCAGCGACGAGTATTTAGGTCACGTGGTACAAATGGACCAATCAGAGAGCAGGAGAGACGCGTCATATCAAATCGCATGGTACAAATTACCCATGATGCACCTTGATTATCTGTCAATCAAACTACGTCACCATGGATGACGTCATAGGAGGGGTGGTTGACAACCGGAAGTGACTCTCCAGTGTACCGGAAGTGACTTTACAACCGGAAGTGACCGTGCGACCGGAAGTCAACCTCTCAACTAGTCCCCAGTCCCGGAAGTGACCTCGATAGCGGAAGTCAAGAAATGTGCTCTATTGAACAATAGGATAACTGGCCTTTATATTTGTGTTGCATGTTGTACGCTTACGCTTGTGGTAATGCTTTGGGGTGATTTGAATCAGCGCATGCGCGTGGAGTAACATTAGGTAGGAGCATTGTCTTATAACCTAGAAGGGATGACTTGACCTTTATATTTGCAGTGAATGTGGTACCCTCACCCTTGTGGTACTTCTTTGTGATAATTTCCAACAACGCATGCGCATAAAGTAACATGTGTGATTGTCGCGTACAGTGCCACCGGAAGTCAAGAAAGCAACCTATGAGATTGCTTTTGACGTCAGCAAGTCACGTGACTGTTCGCTAACTCCTCCCCAGGTCCCCGGAAGTCAAGAAAAAAGACACACTGTAATTGTCAATAAAAAAATCACTTTTTTGATTTAATACAATCTCGTTGTCATGCATAGGTTACATCTGGGACGTCACGCCCTTGCATTTATAATGTTCCATCTAATAAAGCTTGATAAATGCCTACACTGGCTTGCGGGATATTATCCACCATGGATTGTAATGATGCTAATGGGGACTCGATTGGGGTTGTTGTTGTTGTGTCTGGACTGTTACTATCCTGGTAACCATAAGGATAGGATTGAAAATTTGATGAGTCTATCACTCGTTTATCAAACACCAATTTATAGTGTTTGACTTGACTTTCTGTCGACAACTGTTTGGTGGTGGGATTTCTCTTAATGTTATGTGGGTTCCACACTGGAATGGTATTGGCAACGGGTTGTGGTAGAGTCACTTCATCAATAATATTCTTCTTTAAAATGTCAAAGTTTAATTGTTCTTGCCCGCGGGTGTTCAAACTGAATCCACGTACTTTGCATTCTGTTTTTCCTTTGAGGGTTCTGTAGCCATAGTTTTTGGGACCAGCGGCTGCAAATTCTGTAATGTAATCATTGGGATCGTCCAATTCATTGGTGAATTGTCCCAAATATGACCCCAATGGTAATTCTGGGGCATTGGGTTTCCATTTGTAAATCACGGAGTCCGTGTCAAAATATAAGACTTGTTGTTGTAAATGATGCAATGCTTCATACAATTTAAGGCGTGCCCAACATGTTGTAAAACAGGCAATGAAAATGTTAATGTTCACTTGAGTGGGAATGCTGTCTTCAATGCAGTCGTGGACAACCTCAATCATGTGTTCATTGACAATTCTGATGGAATGGATTTGTTGTTCTTCATTTTGAAGTAACTTGTAAAATTCCGAAGGACTGGTAAATGCTTGGACATGAGCCTTGTTGGGTTGTTGGCCAAACTTCCCCCAAAAACTGTTCAACATCATTTTGGCAGTGGAACGTTTGCCTGGATTTTTTTCAATTTTTTCAGGTTCTAATTGAATGTTCTCATGTCGGAGATAATTCATGATGTACTCTTGACGTTTTTCAGGATCGTCTCCTACGTCCGCTGGCCAACCACTGGCTTCTTGTTTCAATTTGAGGAACGTGTCCACATATTGTTTAAACAGAAGTGTCGACTTATTGGGGAAATGCCATATTTCATACAATTGAACAATTGTGTAACCTTGCCGTTTAGCTTCCAATAGTTCAGGGGTACACCATGTACCGGTAAGAGCGCGTTCGTCTTCATTGTGACAACATTGACATTCACGTTCATTCAAGGGGAACTTGACTTGGGTTTCTGCGCATGTGCGACATAATGGAAACATGAGTTTTCCGTTACATCGATAGGGTAATACCGGATGGTACAGTTCACGCGGTGGTAGTATCTTGCACAGGGCTAATCCAAAATACTCCTCAATGGAAAATGAAGGATTGTTAATGATGAGAGGGTGTCCCACTGGGTACTGACAGTTTTTGTTGACAAAGGGATACAGGGATGTGTAATCCACATAGCGGATTTGTTCATTGGGTTCCACTTGATAATACAATTGAACTGCATTGGTACGACCGCCAAAAAAGGCATCTCTTGGTCGAAGGCGAGTGGTGAGGTTGAGTTGTTTCAAAAAGGGTAGAATGTTCAAGTCCTGTTCTTTTATTCGTTTCCATGCACATTCCCACATCACAGTGACATTATACCCCGAATGCTGAAGGTGAGCAATTCGTTGCATGGTTGATTGATACACTTCTGCCATGCTCTTGTTATTCAATTTGGCATGCGTTTGATCTCGATTGTTAAAACAAGTGGGACAACCATGAAAAAAACAACCGTTAAATTCATAGATTGTGTTCGTGTTGGGGTCATAACCATCCACGTACGTTTTGTTCATGCCTATCTGAACTTGATATTCCCCTTGATTGCCCGCATGAAGAAGACGTTTGTCTTGTGAATGTTCTACCCAGTTTAACCATTCTAGAGCAACAATGGAATGCGGTTTGGCTGAACCAACCCATCCCAATACTGGTTCACAGGCCAATGTTCCCGGTAGAATACAATTGGTGCGAAAAAATCGGTTGCATGCTGAGGCAATGGTAATGCACTGTTCCATAGGGTTAAAATTGGTCAATGATTGAAATTCCTGTTGAAATTTCATACACCCTTGTTTAAGCAATTGAACGTCGGATTGACAATAAGCAATCAGTTCTTGTTGGAGATAAAATGTGGCTTGTTCATCCAATTTCGATTGATACCAAGTGTCAAATTCTTGTTTCCTTTCTGGTTTCATGCTGTTGGGATCATAATAATCTTTGGCTGGCATGGGTCCCACATAGTCTTGAAATTCAGCTCGATTGAAAAAATGAGGGAAAAATCCCTTTTTTAGTTCCTTTAGACCAAATGCTTTGGTGAAACTTGCCAGGGGCATTTGTAAAAAAGCCATACTGTCAATGAATTTAATGTGATCCAATGTCAAACTTAATATCTTGGCTCCATTGACAACTTGCTTGGGACAAACGCATTGTTTGTAAAGTTCTTCCAAAATAAAATAACTGTCATAGCCTTGAAAATTGTGTGCAACAGTAATGACTTGACGTAGATATTCTGCATCATCCGTTTGAGTCAGCGTTAGTAACCATGCTAAAAATTGTTCAATGCAATTGGCTCCACTGAATACATATGAGGCATCATCTTCATTGGTTTCTGCGCATACCAAATTGGCGACATGAATACCAGTATCTTGCATGGCTTCAATGTCAAAATAAACAAATAAGGGTGGTGGAACGCGTTCGTCCCTCTTGCGTTTTCTCGCGTTACTCTCTGGCTCAATGGGTTGAATGTAGCACTTGTGAGTAGCAGTTTCCACATATTTGTTACATGAAGGGCACTTGGCATGACCACATTGATGTTCACGAATCTGTTGTTTTCCATTTTCCACCTTATTGCAACCGGGGCATCGTTTTTGCACTTCACACACACTGTTGCCGTTTGCTCTTCGACCTGAAGGAGTGTAATGTAAATGGTTTTGATAACATTGCTGAGTAAAGAAGGAGCGACAGCAATCGGTGCAATACAATGTGGCTTGCTTTTCTTGAAATTCTGTACAATTGGTTTGTTGACAGGCATAACATCGTTTTCCTTTGCATGGATGATGTCGACTGTCATCCACTGCAAATGACCTTTCACATTCAGTACAATAATAGGATGTTCCAAAAAAACCAGTGAGGGAGGTGCAAGCATGATAATGTTCCTTGTGTTTAATGAGTACCAATTGTTTTTCTTTGGGTTTAGATGGTCCTTTGAAAATGAGTTGATAACCCAGTTCAGCATCAATGACAATCAATTGATACTCTGCAAGACTGTTTTGAAAAAGTTGAATTTCAACCAACCCACAGGCGCCCAGCGGAACCCCCGCTTGATTATGAAGTTCTCTAGCATATTGTTCTTGCAAGGCAAAACCACGTTTGCAACTGCGAGTAATCCAATGAGCCGATCCATAATCTTGATGGGCTTTGACTGTCACGATAGCCCTGGCGCAACAGAGATTATCGTAATTGTTGATACGAATCACATTCTTTTTGCATTTGAGTAATTGATCCACGGGGGTAAGACCAGGTTTGTTCTGATTTCGACCTCTGCCCGTGCCAGGATTACGAATATGGGTAATTTCAATGTGAAAAGTGTCATCCATTTGAAATGTTTCATTGGAGTTGAGAACTTGGCTCATTTTTTCCAACATGGCTCTACTCTCTATTCCCTTGTTAATCCAATCAGCAATACTCACTCGATGCGATTGATACGCACTCTGTAAACGATTTGAAGACATGTTAATCATGATCCAATCGTCTTGATTGGCAGTTGGATCACTTAAAATCTGTTGTTGAATTTTCTTGTCCAAGGTATTTTCAATCAATTCTGGTAAGACATGATTGGGTAAGAGTCGGGCAAGATTACCTCCATGTTGTCGCAATCGAGCGGTGAAGGTACGTCGATGAATACCAAATTTAGTACACCGTCTATCCGTGTACGGTACTAACTCAAATTGAAAAGCATTGTTAGCTTGTTCTTCTAGTTGATCCAAGGCTTCGTTGCAATCGCGATCTTCTTGAGAATCGTCCATCATGGTGAGAGAAAATTGTGATGGCTCGATGAGTTGTCTCGAAATATATAGAGCAAACCATGTGATACATCACGATCTGTGATTGGTGGACATCCAGTTTGAACCGGATTGAAACCAGTTGTTTAAAGTGGATATCAAACCAGGTTTGCAAACAAGTTAAACTACTTTTTAAAACAGGTTTTGAACTAGAATTTTAAAAAATCAAAATTTTTTTTTCAAACCCTTGTTGAAACCGGTTTTTTTTTTTTTTTTTTTTTTTGTAATTTTTTTTTAGAGTTTTTTTTTCCTTCTCGAGTTTTTTTTTGCTTCTTTTTTTTTTCTAGGATTTTCTTGGTTTCTAGATTTTTTTTTCTTCTTCTAGGTTTTTTTTTTGTTTTTTCTGCGATTGTAGAATTTTTTTTCCTTAGGAATTTTTTTGTTCTTCTTCTAGGTTATTTTATTTTATTTTTTTTTTTTTTTACTTTTTTAAAGAGAAAGAAGAAGAAGAAAGAAGTTTGAAGTCGGGCTCGAACTCATGACCTCTGGATCTGTATTCACTGCGCGCGATCCCACCTACACTACTACGGAGAAGTTAAGATGACCTATGCAAATTTAAGTAGTCCATAGTTTGCGCGCGTTCCCTTTCACTCGACCTTGTATATATCAACTCGGACCGCAAGTCCAGGCTCGTATGTACTCAAGTTTTTTTTTCCTACACCGTACGTGAATTGAACTGGCGACTCTCGATTGGCTCGAATTGCACCATGTGGAGTTACACAGAGAGATGCGGGTTCAATTCACGCATGGAGAAGGAAAACTTGAGTTATGCTAGATGAGTTTGGTTTCTTCTTTTTCCAAGTGAAACAGGTTCACGATTAGTAAATGAGTACAACTCGGTGGTTTTTTCTTTGCAACAAGCAAACAATCATTAAAAAAAATATACGCCATCCCGAGAAGAAAACAAAATGGCGGTCGATCGGGAAAGAGACATTGACCGATTTCTCTTTTAGGATCTGCGTTGATTTTCAAAAAAAATGCATGAGTTTACTCATGTAGTGAGATGGGAAGGATTTCTTTTATGTGGCTGGAAGGGATGCAGGTGAGGAGGTTCCCGTTTTGTACCATTAAAAAACAACACACAATACATCCAGTTCCACAAGGTGTTTTATTGAATATCTCGTTGCCAATGAAATAATTGATCAATATCGTTATGCGTGAAACCCAAGAATTCATAATCATAGGTACCATATTTGTTTAAATTGAAAGAAAATAAACACAATAAAGCTTCAATGACAGAATCTTTGGGTCTCATAAAATTCCAACAAAAATCCATGTTGCCTCCCCATTCTGGCGGACTGGGATGTTGTTTTTCTACCATTTTCCATTGCCATTCTTCATGAATGTCATGAAAGGCGAGTTGGGGTAACAGTTCCATCAGAGTATCTGCAAGTTGACTTCTGTAAGTATACCATTGTTTACTCCAGGCTTCCACACTAGGAGGGATTAAGTGTACATTTTTATTCATACCAAATTTTTGAATCATCGCATAAGCCACACTCCACACCCAATCTCTGGCCCAACCAGTGGTCGAGAGTTTATCTTGTAAATTTTTATCTTGAAGTATATACATGAGTAGCAATCAGTTTCTTGGTGAACTCTTGGTAGATTTGAGTGTTCAGCCGATACAATTCGTAATTTAAATTTTCAAAGGTGTATTCTTGATTAGAAATAGCATCTTGAATCAAATCACGAATAAACTCTTTGTAAGTCGAAGAATTACTGAGTGGATGCTGGCTCAGTAGTTTGTCCATGCAGTTCGTCGCTCAATCGATGCAGGGTGTTGGAAAAATCTTCTAACCAATGCGTATAACACTCGTGAAACGTATACCCTGCGGCCAATCCTCGTTGGATTCTTTCTAGCATGTAATCTTCCCAAGAGGGAAAATCACTCTGGTGAAGAGTCTTGTAATAATCTTTCATTCGCTTGAGCTCGTTCTGCGCGCCGACTTTTTCTGGCTAAATGACGTTCATGCATGAGTTGTCGTAGTTTTATACGTCTTTGTTGAAAAAAGGAGACCACCGGATTGGTCGATTCATCTCGTAAAGCTTGTTTTTTTAACAGGATGGTTTGCCCCATGGGTTGATACACCTCGACTTGTGGACAAAAATGAACTTTCTTGTTCATCTTAAAAAGGTACGTTGAAAAAGAGCTCTCATCTCCTTTTTACCTTGTTCTGTAAACTGTCTCGATCCTACAATGCCCACATGATCATAGAGAGTGAGAGAACAAGCACTTTTCAAGAGTTGAAACTGACATTTTTTCACATACGAACCCTTTTGTAGATGATAATAGATAAACTCGTACCACTGGTTGTCGGTCAAGTCAAACAGGTACACGCGTTTCCCCATATCCAAAGCCAGTTGAACGGTCCAACCCGTTCCTCCTTGAACTTTGGTCTTGTTAGCGTCTAAGTAGCCAAAGGCATACAGAGCATAAGATTGTCTAGCAATAAAATAATTTCGAACCATTAATTCTTCAAAATAAGTAGCTGTACCAATGGGACTTTTACGCTGAAGCGTTTGGTTGGCTCGTTTGATGGATTCACGAGCATGATAAAGATCAGCTTCAGTGGGTTGAATAGGACTAAGACATTTAGCTCTGGGATGATTGGGACCTATTTTGATATCCAACCGACATTCATACGCCAAAGCCAGTCGTTCAGCATATTCATCTGCTCCTTGGGCTCCACCGGTCACAATGGTATATTTTTCACCCGCCGGATGTTCCATGGGTTCTTCTGCAAAGTCGTCTTTTTTTTCCACAACATTTCCGACATGTGTCCATGTTTTTGAAGGCTCTGCAGGATTGGAGGAAGCCATGGTTAGAATGAAGAAATGAATGAGGATCACTAGTAATATACTTGTTTTGAAAAAACATGTTAAACGGGTTTTCTTTTAAAAAACAAGTGAAACCAGTACAAACGGGTTAAAACCAGTCAATCCAGTACAAACGGGTTAAAACCGGTCAATCCAGTTGTTCCGCTAGCGCGTTGCAACAAAAATGATTGGTTGAAGATCAGGTGATCGCGCTTATATAGTCTCGGAGCAACTCGCCATTTTCATCAGTTGCATCATGCAGTCACCAGTCGAGGCTCCACCCGTGAAACGAAAATATACCAAGAAAGATCCTTCCAAAGAAAAAAAGAAGAAGAAAAAACCCAAATGGGAAACAGATTCTCCTGCTTTGAAGACAGATGCTGTCAAAGAAACACCCGAACCTATCGTGGTGGAGAAACATTATGCGATGAAAGATGGGCAATGGGTGGAAGAACAAGAGCAAGAAAAAGATCTGGCCATTCAAGCCTTGTTGGCTGAAGTGGACCTCATTCCTCAAATTGGAAGTCCACCTGGACCACAAAGTAGGAGTCCACCTCGAGCTCCTTTAGCCGAGGTGGATTTGGTAACGTGCCCCTTTCATCTGAAACCTCTCACTCGTAAAAAACCACCCGATGAGATTGAGAAACAAGAAGTGCTGTTTTGCCCCGACATTGATTGTCCCGTGTTCCTATTTGCCAGTAACATCGATGCTTATCTACAAGCCCTGCATTACACACTACCCAGTCATGATGTGATGGAATGTTGGGACATTCTGCAATGTTTCTGCCATTGCACCCCTGTGCTGAAACTGAGTCAATCGGAAACCAACCCCAATCGCTTGTACTTGAGCTGCAACAATTGGCAGAAAGAGTTGAAATGCCCTTACTTTCAGTGGTATGATGAACCTTTTACCAACAAGAATGCAGCCTGGCAAGATGAAATGCGATTTGAATTCAAGCAGTTACCCGTACCAGCGAGTCGAGAAGAAGCCAAAAGAAAAGCGCAAGAACACAAAGAAGCTTGCAAAAAGATGGCTTTTGTGCAGTACTTTACCAACTTGAAAGCAGACATGGAGGAAAAACGAAAAAATCTGCTGAAAACAGGCGGTGGCGGTCCGCGCGAAGACGGCGCGCGCGAAGACGGCGGCGGCGGTGGCCCGCGCGAAGACGGCGGTGGCGGTGGCCCGCGCGAAGACGGCGCGCGCGAAGACGGCGGTGGCGGCGGCGGCGAACGCAAAAGTCCCTTTGTCTACTATACAAGAGCAGTACCAACCCACGATTCGTTCACTGCCTTTGAACATGGAGTCCATGTTTGATGAGACATTACCTTGGAAGAAGTTACCTCATTTTATTCAAGAACGTATTTATTGGCGACCGATGGTTCACGCACGAAATAAGAGTCAGCAAAAAAAAAGTGTATATAGTGAGTTGTCATTAAAGTTATTTTTTAAAAAAGAAAAAAAAATGTGGTATTATTTGCGTTGGCGTTTGATTCGTTTTCTTTGCGCTCGTTTATTTTTAAAATATTCCGAGCAGCATGTTTTGCAAGAATGGGGTGATCCTGTGGAAACCTTTAAAGAGACGCACGTCCATCGCGATTTGGGAAGATTTGTCACGTATGTGGTATGGTTAAAACAGTTCCCGTTGGCAGCACAGTGGTATTTTCGCATTGAGGAACTATTTGGGTCTCAAGTGCTCTCGTGCATGGAGTTGATTCGTTATTGGATACAATGAGGAAAGACGAGTTGGTGGTATTGTGCTTTTTGCAAAGTCAAATTTGTCAGAGCAAGAATTGAAATGCCTTGATGCTTGGCAGTGTCGTCGCCAGAGAACAAGCGCCACCCTGCTGAGAAGATAGATCAAAGAGATACTGTCCAGACACTGCATGCACCTAGCACGCTCAAACAACAACGTTGAACCAGTTTGCTGAAGCTCAGAGAAAGAAGAGGTGGTAGTGGAACTTTCTTTTTTGGCAAAAAAAAACTATTAAAGAAAAAGACCTTAAAGCATCTGTGTCACAGCGCTATGTCGTTAGCACGCGCTTACGAAGATCCTCATGAACAAGGGGCCTTGGGTGGGGTAGACCCCTTTGCCAAAGCCCACAAATTGAAAACTCCTCAAGCGCAACAAATTCTGCAATCCGTGCTCAGTTATACGTTACACAAACCCCGACGAACTCGTTTCCCTACCACTCCCACCTTGGTGTTTGACCGAGACGAACAATGGCAAATGGATTTGGTGGACATGCAAAAACTCAGTCGCTGGAACAAGGGCAACAAATATTTGCTGACCGTGATCGATGTGTTGTCCAAGTATGCGTGGGCGATACCCATCAAATCCAAAAGCAGTAAAGAAATGATACGAGGGTTAGAAGGGATTCGTCGACAAGCCTCACCTCGACAACCACTCCGTGTGCAGACGGATCAAGGCAAAGAATTTTATAATGCGGGGGTCCAAGCCTGGTTCAAGAAACACGACTGGCATCATTTTTCAACGTATGGGGATAGTAAGGCCTCCGTGGTAGAACGATGGCATCGCACGTTGAAACAACGGATGTACCGCTACTTTACGGCCCACAATACGTTGAGGTATGTGGACGTGTTACAACCGTTAATCCACTCGTACAATCAGTCCTATCATCGGAGTATTGGCATCACCCCGCAGCAAGTCACAGAAAAAACTGTGCCCGAGGTCTGGGCCAGACTCTACGGAAAGCGCTTGAAGCAAAAGACACCACCTCCCAAATGTCAAGTGGGTGATCGCGTACGCCTCAACAAGAAACATCGACCCTTTCAAAAAGGGTATCTACCTGGATGGACAGAAGAAGTGTTTGTGGTGACGCATGTACGTCGTCATCCCATCGTGACCTATCGACTCAGTGAATGGGATGGTACGCCTATAAAAGGTACGTTTTACGAACCGGATGTGCAAAAAGTGCAAGTGTCCGATGACTCGTTATTTCGGGTCGAAAAAGTCTTGAAACGTAAAGGACGCAACGTATTAGTGCGTTGGAAAGGCTGGCCACCCAAGTACGATAGTTGGATTCCCGCCCATGGTACGAAGAAAACAAACAACGCATCGAAAAAGAAGAAGTAGACGGTTTCTGTACTCAATACCCACTGAAACCAGTGACACGTCACCCCACATGGATGAGGTCGAGATCATGAAGTTCATTAACAAGGAAGCGGCGAAACAAAGACGAGCCAAAGTCAACAAAATGGCAGGGCTGGCCTTTGGTGAACAAGCTCTTCGTTCTTACACGGCTGCCCAAAAGAAACAACGCCGGCGCGCTGGTCGTCATCCGCCCATGCGCAAGAAGAAAAAAACCACCCAACAAAAAACTTGCTTAACTCTAATGGAACTAGCCCAGGCCTTTCCCAACATTGCTCAGCAAGTATGTTTTTATCCCAAACAATCAACCTTTAATTCTTTAGTGGGACGAGTTCCTCGTAGCAAACAGAAAGTGGTTCAGTGGCTATAAAAGCACCTTGTACTCTCTGAGAGGCGCCTCTTGTTCACCATGAGTGAGATTAAACGCTTGACGCTTATCAGCGACCCGACCGACGAGTTTCCCAAAAATACTAACAACAGTTTCAAGGTCCGTCTACCCGAACCTCTCTCCTTACAGGGCGAGGGTTGGTATGCCTCGTTGATGTCTCTGACCGTTCCGGATGAAGGTCAGAGCAATGCTGTCATCGCCTCGGATCCACATACCAAAGTAATCCGATACAAACATCCGATAAGTACCCGCAAATGGACAGACACGGGCGACCCATCCACCTCAGGGTATTTGTTCATAGACACCTCATTGTCGACCAAAATGATCGAATTGGAAGAGATCATGAATGCAACTCAAATCGTGTCCACAGGGAGTCAGTTTTGGAAACGCGTGATGCATACGTTGCACAACAAAATCATGACCGAAGTGATGAAAGATCAATGGAACGCATCAGTTGCCGAACGCGACCGAAAACCGATTGTGTTTGTCAATAAACACGGTATGCCTCAACTGAGTTGGAAAGGGGAGTCTCTGGTGATTGAAGCGATTGCCAAAAAGAACTTGATGAACAATCGCCAAGTTAGCATGGTGGAGTTTTACATCAACGTGGACATTGCGCTCAAGTTTGGCTTGCTGCGCAGAAAGACAGGCAAGACTGGGTACGCGACGTCCGATTTTGTGCTAGGCCCGAATCTGCAATATTCTCTACCCACCAAGACCTATGATGAGAGCACTGGTCCCGTCGGTAGTCGATATCGAACCTATTACAATTGGGAAGGGGACGTGTACGAGGGCGTCAACTTCATCGGCAGTGCCTTTTCTATCATGACAGCAGACAATGTGAAATGGTTGAGATTGTTCCCAGCGTTTGAATGGCAGTTGTACAACCTGGATGCCTCCTTTGAAAAGATAGTGGGCACTAGCAAACGCACCGTTATGGTCTATTCAGATCTCGTCGAATCCACCGTGGTGGGCAGTGGCAAGTTTCCCCTGTTGCGGGAAGTGCAATTGTTGAGAACTGGGGATGGTGAAAGTACGGCAGAACCCCTGCACCACCAATGGATCAAACTACGAGGCCAACAATTGGATATAGTGGAAGTGGAAATTGCCAGTACCGCTGGACCCCTGACCATCTTACCTCCCGGCAAAACCATTGTGACGATAGGTCTCAAACAGCTATAAAAACTACCACGCACCCTTAGACGAGTATCCTCATCATGAGTGAGATTAAACGCCTGACGCTCATCAGCGATCCGACCGACGAGTTTCCAAAAAATACTAACAACAGTTTCAAGGTCCGTCTGCCCGAACGTCTCAACTTACCGGGCGAAGGTTGGCACACCTCGTTGATGTCCCTGACCGTGCCGGATAAAGGACAGAGCAATGCCGTCATTGCGACGGATCCTCATACCAAAGTCGTCAAAATAAGCGTCACGTTTTTGACGCGCAAATGGGTCCAGGGGGAGTATAAACTGGTCGAATTCAAGACTAAGGATTATGGAGTGGAATTGGAAGAGATTATGAGCGCCAAACAATCTGTAACCACAGGCAGTGAATTTTGGAAACGCGTGATGCAAGAAGTGCACAATAAGGTCATGCAGGCATTGATAAACCGACAAAGTGCTGCCTTGACCGCTGATAGTGGTAAATATCCCATAGTCAGTGTGAAAAAGAATTGGATGCCTTTGATGACCTGGAAAGGTGATGCCTTGGTGCTGCATGCTGTGCCTAAAGAAGACTTGATGAATGCGAACAAGAGCAAAGTTACGAGCGCCTTTACGATGGATCTGGAGATAGCGAAAAGGTTTGGCTTCGTTGAACAACCCGTAGGTGTGGATATTGGTTATGTGATTGGGCCCAATCTGCAATTCACTTGCCCTACCGTGACCTACACAAACCAAACCAAGCCAGACAGTACCATCCCCTCTGCTCGCGCGGAGTTCAATTGGAATGGAGAGCATTATACAGGGGTGCAACCCTCAGATTTGACTGATGACGAGATGGATCAAATGTTCGAGGTCAACGGAAAACGGCTTAATTTGTCTAGGATGGTAGAATGGCAGTTCAACAACCTGGATGCTTCGTTTGAAAAGATCGTAGGCACCAGCAAACGCACTGTGATGGTCTATTCGGATGTGGTGGAATCCACCGTAGTGGGGAGTGGCAAGTTTCCCCTGTTGCGGGAAGTGCAATTGTTGAGAACTGGGGAAGGAGAAAGTACAGCAGAACCCTTGCACCACCAATGGATCAAAGTGCGAGGCAACCAATTGGACATTGTCGAAGTGGAAATTGCTGATACCAGTGGCCCCCTGACAATTTTACCCCCCGGCAAAACCATTGTAACGATAGGTCTCAAACAGCTATAAAAACCACCACGCACATCAGAGAGAAGACCATACAAAAACAGAACAGAGATGCGAGGAGGGAGTTTAACGCGCTACCACACGCCCGTGGTGACGACCCAAGAGGGAAAAGGATTGGCCGAAGACTTAATCAAACTAGCTGGTCCTCTCATCGTGCAACAAGCCCAAGAGGGACTCCAAGATATCCAACAAGGAATGAGTTTAGCCGACACCTTGTCGAATCGTGGAGAGCAAATTAAACGTGGTTTGAAACGCAAAGCTCCTGCCATGGCCTGGACCGTGGGAAAAAACCAAGCCAAACGAACCGCTCAAAATACCTATAAAAGAACGACTCAACGTGTACGGGATATTTTTGGATTGTAAATGATGGTACGCATTGGTGGATTTCGCAAAACGCAAAATCGCATTCGACTTCAGCGGCCCCGAGGCCGGTTCATTTCACCGTATCAAACGGGGGGGACTATCTTTGGTAAATCTACCACAGCACGCTACCCCTTCATGTACTCATCATCCCCAGCACTAGAGCGTTGGATGAAGAAACACCTGCAGCAACGTGGCAAAATGAAAGGAGGTACGATTTTTAGTGACCGCAGGCGGAACAATCCTTTCGGGTTCCCATCGACGTCGACCCGTATCAACCCCGAACCCTGGAGGGTGAAACAGGCCCTGCGCCGTATGAAAGGAGGGGATCTCAGAAAAGTATTGTGGGCCAACCAAGCCAAAGCCAGAAGGCAACGACAGGGTATAAAAAGGAAACGTCGTTGAACGTCTTCACTCTCATTGTGGACTTGGGGCTGCCCGCAAAAAAAACATGTCGCTCAATTTGTTTGATGTCCCGAATGTGGATTACCGGTACGAAGCCTCCAGGGACGTGACGTTTCAACCTGCCTTGACGGGAATTCAGCCCATCACGTTTTCCATCCCGGCCTCCGAAGATTATTATGATCTCAACGAACTCCGTTTTCAAGTCAAAGTACGTCTGACTGATCCAGCCGGTGGGTATGCAGGATTGAAAGCCAATTTGGCCGATTCCGATGCCAACAATACCAGAAACACCTACTGCGTCAACAATTTTGCTCACTCCATCTTTCGAGATATTACCATGAGCATGAATGGTGTGCTCATGACTGAACAGAGCAATACCTACCATTACAGAGCCTACTTGGAAACCTTATTGAATTACAACAGAGAAGAAGGAGCCACCAAGTTAGCCCCTCAAGGCTGGGTGAATCAACTCAATGTGATTGACGAGATGGGGGCAACAGGTGCCAATTCCGATATTCCTACCACTGCTGGTTGGAGTGGAAATGTAGAATTGCGAGCCTTGACCAGCCGGTTGCTAAGCGAAAATTGGCACACCTTTATCATCCGTCCTCATTTACCACCCCTCAAGACGGGTAAATGTTTGGTGCCTGGTGTGCAGTTGGACTTTGAATTGTTTCTAAACCCCAAGTCTGTCTACTTGATGGGTACCCCCAACAAAGGGACCTTAACCACCAAGAAATTTCCAGCCATCCATAATGATGACATCAAAGTCACCTTACTGATGCGAAAAGTGACCTTGAACGCGAGTGTCTATGTCAGACTGGAAAAAGAAAGACAGCTGAGAAAAAAGATTGTGCGCTACCCAGTGGTTCGAAGTGAAATCCGCACCTTCTCCTTTGATGGAAGAACTACCCAGTGGGAACAAGACAATGTGTTTGTGGGTCGATTTCCCGATCGAGTGATAGTGGGATTGCTGCATTCCAATGCCTTCAATGGTGACCTACAAAGATACCCCTTTGCCTTTGAAAAGTTTGGGGTGACGCAAGTGCGACAAAGTTTGAATGGAGAAGAATATCCTTACAGAACCCTAGAACTAACAGGCGATGAAGCCTATGAAGATCTACTGGGCTACGATCGCTTTCTACAAGCCATGGGTTCCTACAATGAAGACAAGATCCCCATGCTGTTACCCAGTGATTGGGGACAGGGCAACAACTGCACATTGTTTATGTTCAACAATGTGGCAAGCGGCAAAGCCGATGACCCTCAGTATCGCAACCCTCGTAAATCGGGGAATGTACGACTGGTGATTGATTTCAGGGCCGCTGTTAATCACAACATCACTGTGTTGGTGTGGAGCGAATATGAAAACATGTACGAGATTAATCATCTGGGAGGTATAAAGTACAACATCAACGGCTAAACCATCCGCAGAAGAAACCAGCCATGGAGTTTGTGGCGCTCAGCGATACTGTGTTGCAGGCGTTGGCCTTAGATGATCCTGAATTACGACGCGTGTTTCAAGGTGTGTACCCAGCCGATAAACTACCGCCATCACCTCCCCAAACCGTCCGCGCGGCCTACATTGTCAACACGGATCCAGCGGGGGAACCGGGACAACATTGGTTGGGCATGTGGACAGAACAAAACAAGTGTGAAATCTTTGACAGTTATGGTCTACCCTTGCACGTGTACAAAAATGCAGAGTTGCACAAGTGGTGGAGTCAATGGAAGTACCTAACCCGCAGTGACATTACCCTGCAAGCCATGGATAGTCAGACCTGTGGTCATTATGCATTATTTTTCCTTAAAGCCAGAGCGCAAGGACAGACCTACAAGGACTTTTTGGGAAGTTGGAGTTCCGATAATTTAGTGTTAAATGATCAAAAAGTAGCCCAAGACTTGAAACGAGTGATTAAACGTGAATTACAAGATGAAGTGGATGCCCGACCAGATGGGCAAAGTAATTTGAGCCGCCAGGCCTTTCTACTTTGTAATAAATTGTAATAAAAAACATGATTTTACTTGTCAAAATGTGTGTAGTGTCTTATCATCTTTATAAAAAAGACAAGTCCAACAACAAGAGGTGTCATTTTTTCATCATGATTACACGCGGCGATGTGCAGCGCGTTATCGATGCGTTCATTTTGAAAGAATCTCTTTATTGGTGGTTACATCCCATCGAACGCGTTCAAACCGTCCGAGGCAATGATGCATGGGATGGGTATCATTGGACATTAGCCAGACAATTAGCTCAAGATAGAGAATGGATGTCTCTTAAAGCGTACATGGACACCATGGGTGAATCGTATTTAAGGGAATGTATGCAACACCTCATTCAGTCAGCGTCTCCTCGATTATACCGCGAGTATTGGACGGTATGCCCTCTCGCAGACGACGACGACGACAGCGCGCCTCCACCCAACGACCCCACTTTCGCCAAAACGGGCGCGGAATCATGAGCGTGTTGGCCAAAGCCTATAAAATTGGCGACCAATTGGGACGGGACAAACGGTATAAACGCATGGGAGCCAAAGGGGCCACAGGTCATTACAGACGTCACCCTCGACCGTGGGAATCATGATCCGACACCCCAGCAGTGTGATAATCGCCGGTCCGTCGGGTAGTGGCAAGAGCGACTTGGTGGAACAATGGTTGCGGTACCTGAACGTCTTTCAAGTGAAACCCCACAAGATTGTGTATGCCTATGATCGCTGGCAACCCCGATTCGAGCGTATGCAACAAAAGGAGAAAATTCAGTTTCATCGCGGGTTACCGGACCCTCGTCATTTGACGCAATGGTTTGGTCGGACGCGTGGAGGGGTGTTGGTCTTGGATGATCTAATGGAAGAAGGGGGACAAGACAAGCGCGTGTTGGATTTGTTCACCAAAGATTCGCATCATCGCAACATCACGGTGCTGTATTTAACGCAAGATTTATTCCCACCGGGCAAATTTTCCAAGACCATCAATCGCAACGCGCATTACATTGTGGCGTTCAAAAACCCCCGGGATCAAACAGGGATACGGACTATTTTATTGCAAGCCTTTCCGGATCGATGGCGCAAAGTCTTGCGACTATTTAATCGTGTCACATCGCGCCCTTTTGGTTATTTGATGTTGGATGTACATCCTGCCTCGGATGATCGTTACCGTTTGTGGAGTCATTTAACACCCCGAGAAGGTAAAGCGCAAGTCCACACCTTGCGGGCAGATGTCCCTACCGTTCGACAACGCCCTGCAACGAGAACTCGCCAGGGTCCGCCGGCAAAGAGAAGGCGGACAACATACTGACTTAGCCACCCGCATGGACCCACCGACTCTCTCGCCCGCGGGAGTGGGTTCCCTTTCAGTCCTCCGAGATCTCAGCAGCATGACGGACATGGCGGCCGAATTGTCTCGACCTGTGGCCGTGGTCGAGCCCGTGGACGAGGTCACAGTTCTTCGTGAACAAAGAATATAAAAACAAGCGCCTCCCTTCCATCGTCCCAAAATTGTGTGGCGAATGTCGACACGCGATGGCTGCTAGACGCAAACGCCAACGCACCACGACTCGACGACCACCACGTCGACGTAGGATGAAGGGTGGGAAGGCACCGTTCGTGGTGGATGTCAAAAAAGGCTTCAAGTTGTTGACGGATCCAGCTATGTGGAAGATTCCTTCCAAAGCCGACGTCAAGGCTGACAAACAACGGGTGGCCAACTATAAACGCCAGTATCGCGCTAGTGGCAGCAAGGACTCGTACAACAAGTGGTTGGTCAAGAAGGGGTATGCCAAAAAAGTGGGTGGGTGCAGTTTGATGTGAATGTATAAAAAGAAATGAAAGGGGTTGACAACAACCTAGCAATGCGCCGAGCCTTGAGACTATAAAAACGAGACACATCGTGAAAAAGGTTCATCAGATGTTGTACAACCCATCATGCCACCCAAACGAAGACGACGGCGACGAAAGCAACGAGGAGGTATTCTCCCGTTCCTCATTCCCGCTGCCATCGCTCTCGGTAAGGCGGCAGCGCTAGGAGCCGTTAGTGGTGGTGCCAGCTACGGTGCCAAAAAAGCTATCGACGCGGCCACGCGCAAGAAAAAAGTGGGCAAGATCAGTGCAGCGCAATGGGCAGCCAATAAACGAGAGGTTCAGCAGATGTTAACTCGAACGGGTTTGCCAGGGTTAGCGACATTACGAATGCTAAAGTAAAAAACTATAAAAGAGGCATTGTTAGCTCCCCCAGAAAACGATGCTGGCATCATGGATTGCAACGTGGAAGAGTACTACTCATGTTGGCGATGGCTCTCTCGCCTTACAAGGTTAAGAAACGCACATAGGTGTGGAAAGGTTAGAAGCGATGCAGTGCTCAGAAGAAGAAAAAAAGGTTCTAACGATTATTTTTTACAGTGCGACAAAAATTTTGAAGACCAGTTGTGTCAACAGTGTCGCGACCACATGCAACAATATTATCATGGCGAACTGTGTGGAGCACTTTTTACCATAAATAGACCTTCGGTGGATGACCCAAAGCAACAATCACACCATGGATTGGCGCATGGAACGTCAAGCTCCGTTTCTGAAGAGTGTGTTGCGAGAAGCGGACAATCATAAACGACAAGAATTGTTACGGATGGCCAATGCGGATCAGATTAATGCCATCAGTGAATTGGTCATGAACACGATCCGCGGAACCGTGCCCCGTTCTCGACACACCATCACTTTGCTGAAACCCCATGCTCAGAGTTTAAGAGCCATGGCCAAACCGGCTCATTCGGTCAAACGTCGACGCGCTATCATGATGTCTCAAAAAGGCGGCACTCTCTGGTCCGAACTCTACCGATGCTATAAACGTACCATGCGTTAGACATTGTACCTCATTTACACCATGGAGCAAGAGATGGTGAGCACCTCTGTGGACAATGCTCCGGCTTTTTTACAATTACGAGACAAGTACAAACAAGAGTTGGTGGAAGATACTCGCTTGACCAAAGCGGCAGATTTAGCGGCCAAACAACATGTGCTCTTGGCCAGTGATGTCCCCGATGCATGGAAACGGCCTCAACTCAAAGCCGTGGGGCGTCAATTACGCCATTGGACCAAAAAAGTACGCCGACCGTTTGGTGCCCCTGTCAGTGGGGTAGGCGGTACGGGCACTCCTGCGACTGCAACGGGTGAGGATGAGTTTGATGCTGGCCCAGTGCAAGCTTGGTTGACGCAACTAGTCAAGGCAAGCCAGGGTATAAAACAAAGTGCCTCTCCTGCAGGACCCTCCAGACCCGGTAGAAAACCACGCGTACCACCCAAACCCATTATCACCCCGAGTGCCAAAAAGAAACTCAAGTTCACTCCCGAGTTGAGCACCGAAGAGTTGGCGAAAGAGTTGCCCTTTACAGAGGACACTGCCCCAACACCTTGGAACACCCCCTCCTTAGCGGTCAAGCGCAAAATCAGACAGAAAGCCAAAGAGGTAGCCAAAAAGAGAGCCACAGAGGTGGCCAAAAAGAAAGCCACCGGTTGGGCCAAGAAAGCCTTGGAGTGGGAAACGTGGAAAACCCCGTGATGGGACGGACTTGTAGACGCCGCCGTGCCGCACCTAAAACCCGCCAGCGACGACGACGTTCGCAACGCGGAGGCAAGTTATTTGATGTTCAAAAGTTATTGGCCAAGACAGGCATCGAGTTTCATTGGCCCGGTTATCAGTATATGGGTCCTGGCACTCATTTGGAGAAACGTTTAGCCCGCGGTGACCCAGGCATCAACAGGTTAGACAAGATTGCTAAAGCCCATGACATTGACTATGCTAGAGCCAAAAACTTGAAGGACAAATGGATGGCAGATCGCAAGATGATTGCCAAAATCGATAAACTGCCAGGTCAGAAAAATCTGACAGAACATATTGTCAAAAATATCATGAAAGCTAAACTCAAGTTGGGCATGTAATCATGTTGTTGTTTTTTCCTTATCAATAAAAGAGATTGTTTATGCCAAATTCTACTCAGTGTGGTGTTGTAGTTTTATTCCTCCAACAAACACAATGTTTTTTTCATACAATCTCGATGCAATGCACTATTCCCTATTGCATTTTCATTTTACCAGTGCCTATACGCATCGAGTGATTAGTCGTGTATTAAAAAGCAAACGTCTCACTAAATGTTGACAAACGGATGAAGCTATTGGCCCGTATCATGTCAAGTCGCAAGGAAAACTACAAATACCAAGCTCTAGCAAGAAACGAAGCAAGATTCCGCCTAAAGGAGAATCTTCTTGAACAAATGCTATTGTCAGTGGATGATTTGGACGATTTTCACGAATCTTTCATGATCAAACTTGAACGTGACAATTTTAACAATATATTATCTCCATCCGATGTACAAGAAATCAAACAAGCCGTACAACGAAGAAAACAACAATGGAGACAACTGGAAAAAGTCTTTCA